GCCATGTAAAATCACCAGAAGACTGTGCTGTGGTACTTGAACAATATTTAAACGGATCACAAAAATGTTAAACTAGAGAATTTATACTTAGAGCCAGTGGCACCTTAATGATAAGAACTGGGGGAAGGATCAGTGCCATTTATGCATTTGTAGCCTATTCTACTAAAATTCCTGGAGTAGATGATGCCATCTGTGAAGTGCATCTCAGCTTTCATCCTTTCCTCAAAACGCATAGATAGTGATGCTGTGACTGGGGCCAGGCATGAATCAAGAGTAACCTGAGTGGAAGCTTTTGGTTTTATTTTTAAACATAAAAAAAAAAAAGATTTACTTCTTTGGAAAGCAGAGTATAGGCTATATTATTGAAACTTACTGTATTCAAATACAAATAGAATTTAATTTTGGTAATGCTATACTTTGGAGGATATAGATAGTAATGTTCTTGCAGTTATGAAGCAATGATACTACTACACAAAAATGTTCTTTTTTGCTTTGGAATATAGTGATTTTAACAGCTTTATTCAGGAATAATTTACATAAACTACATAAAGTATATAATTTGACAACTTCTGATATATGTATAACTCCGTGAAATCATCATCATGGTCAGTTGAATGAATACAATAATCATGCCTTTAAAATTTTCCTGTGACATTTTGTAATTCTATCTCCCCTACTTACCCCTCCTCCTCATTCCTAATCAATGACTAATCTGCTTTTCATCATTATTGATTAGTTTGCATTTTCTAGAATTGCATGTAATTGGATAGTTTTGTTGGTCTAGTTCATTTTTTTTGTGTAATCAGTGTCAGTAATACTGTGTGTATCAATACTTATTTATTTTTTATTGCTAAATTATATTATATTTGATGGATATATCACAGTGTGTATATCCATTCACCTGTTGATGGATGTAGTTTGCTATTCTAGTATAATAGATTATCCCAAAATCTACTGGCATAAAACAACAAATATTTATTATGTCAATATCTGGACCAGAAATTTGGGGGAGGACTAGTTGGAAGTTCCAAGTCTTTCAGGAGCTTGCTGTGAAGATGTTGCCTGGGACTTCAGTTTCTCCACAAAGACATTTTTGCATAGCTTCTTCAGTATTCTTACTGCATAGAGTCTGGTTATTACCAAAATAAGTGACCTAAGAGTGAGGACTAAGAGGCAGCTTTAATGCCTTCTATGACCCAGTCTCAGAAGTTATATACATTGTCACTTCCTATGCATTACTATTTGCTGTAAGTATGTCATTATGCCCAACTACATTCAGTGGAGAAGAATTGGGGGCCTGTGTTTGAAGGGAGGAGTATCAGAAAATTTAGGGATGTATTTGAAAGCTACCATGAAGGAGAGTTGTTTTTTATAAGTTTTGACTATTACAAATAAAAATGCTTTTAACAATGTGTGTACAAATCCATGTAGATATACTTTTGTTTTTGTGTGTAAATAGCTATGAGTAGAAAGTCTAGTTTGTAAGATACAATTATGTTTACATTTTTACTATGAGTACAGCCAAGACTATAAAACATTAATAAGGAAAGAAAAAAAAATTTACTGACATTTATAGTAATCTTTTCTTTAAAAAAAACCTATTTATTTATTTATTTACTTGAAGGTCAGAGTTACAGAGAGAGAAAGAGGGAGAGGTCTTTCATCCACTGGTTCACTCAATTAATCTGGATCTCCCATTAGGTAGCAAGGACCCTTTATCACCTACTGCCTCCCAGAGTGCACACTGGCAGGAAGCCAGAATTGGAAGTGGAAATAGATACTACAATATAGGATACAGCATCCCAAGTGGCGTCTTAACGATTGCACTTAGCACCTTCCCTTAAAATTTATTTACTTATTTTCACTTAATTTATAAGAGAGAGAGACAGAGAAAGAAAGATAGATCCTCCATCCTCTGGTCCTCTCAGCAGACAACAGCCAGAACTGGACCAGACCAAAGCCAGAAGCACAGGACTGAATCTGGATCTCCCACCTAGATGTAAGGACTAAAGTGCTTGAGCCATCATCTGCTGCCTCCTAGGGTATGCATTAGCTGGAAGCTGGATCAGAAACAGAAGAGCCAGCACTGAAATCAGACACTAGGATATGGGGTGTCGGCATCCCAAGTGGTGTTTTAACCACTGCACCAAACTCTTGCCCCTTATACAGTGAATGTTTTTCAAGATTTATTTAATTGAAGGGCAGAGAGAAAGGTATCTTCCATCCACTGGTTCACTTCTTTTTTTTTTTTTTTTAAGATTTATTTTATTTATTTGAAAGAGTTACGGAGAGGCAGAGAGAGAGGGAGAGGGAGAGGGAGAGAGAGAGAGAGATCGGTCTTCCATCTGGTGGTTCACTTCCCCAGATGGCTGCAACGACCAGAGCTGCGCCAATCTGAATGCAGGAGCCAGGAGCTCCTTCCAGGTCTCCCACGTGGGTGCAGGGGCCTAAGCACTTGGACCATCTTTCACTACTTTCCCAGGCCATAGGCGAGAGCTGGATTGGAAGAAGAGCAGCCAGGACTATAACCAGCGCCCATATGGATTGCTGGCGCCTCAGGCCAGTGCTTTAACCCGCTACACCACAGCACCAGCCCCTACTGGTTCACTTCTAAAATGGCTGCAATGGCCAGATCTGGGCCAAACTGAAGCCAGGAGCCAGGAACACCATCCTGGTCTCCTACATGGGGAGCAGGAGCTCAAGTATTTGGGCCATCTTTAGCACCTTAACAAGGAGCTGGATTGAAAGCAGAGTAGCCAAGATTGAAATCAGTGCAGTTATGGGATGCTGGTTTTAGAAGTGCTGCACAGTGATATTGGCCCCATTATCCAATGAATTTTGAGAAACACAACACTGTATAACTCAAAGCTCTTTTAAGATGTTGATCATTACAATTATCTAGAATGTTCAGCCATATCTCATACTCGATAGCCCAACGCACACTGTCAAAGGCAACTATTTGATTTTCTTCCATAAACTGGTTTTGCTTTTTTCTGTAACTTATATAAATGGAATCATGTCATGTAGTATTTGTGTTTGTGTGGGGGGTATTGTTATATGTGTGTGAAACTTTCACTTGGAATAAATTTTTGAAATTCATTGTTGCTATGTCAGTACTTTTCTCTCTTAAATAGTTACTAGTATAACTTAATGTCAGAGAATATATTCTCTATTGGGATGAGGAACTTTTTTTTTAGTTCTTTAGTTTCTTTAGTTCTGCTGAGATTATCAGTTTCTTTTTGAGTAAGCTTTGTTGGTTTTTGTCTTTCAAAGAACCCTTCCCCTCCCCACCTCCTCCCCTCCCCTTCTCCTCCCCTCCCCTCCTCCTCCCCTCCCCTCCCCACCCCTCCCCTCCTCCTCCCCTCCCCTCCCTTTCTCCTCTCCTCTCCTCCCCTCCCTCCCTCCCTTCCTCCTCTCCTCTCCTCCCACCCTTCCCTCAACCCCGCACCCCTTCTCCTCTCCTCCCCACCCCTTCCCCTCCTTCCCCTCCCCTCTCCTCTCCTCCCCTCCCCTGTCCCCCTCCACTCCCCTCCCATTCTCCTCCCCTCTCCTCCCCACCCTTCCCCTCCACTCCCCACCCCTTCTCCTCTCCACCCCTCCCCTCCTCTCCCCTCCCCTTCCCCTCTCCTCCCCCCACCCTTCCCCTCCACTCCCCACCCCTTCTCCTCCCCACCCTTCCCTTTCTCCTCCCCTCCCCTCTCCTCTCCTCTTTCCTCTTCTCTTCTCTTTCCTCTCCTCTCCTCCTCTCCCCCTCCTCTCCCCTCCCCTCCCCTCCCCTCCCCTCCCCTCTCCTTCCCTTTCCTTCTTTCTTCTTTTTTTTTTTAAAGATTTATTTTGCTTGAAAGAGAGTTACAGAGAGAAGTAAGAGACAGAGAGAGAGGTCTTCCATCTGCAGGTTCACTCCCCAAATGGCCTCAATGGCTGGAGCTGAGCTGATCCGGAGCTAGGAGCCAGGAACTTATTCCAAGTCTCCCATGTGGGTGCAGGATCCTGAGGACTTGGGCCATCTTCTACTGCTTTCCCAGGCGCATTAGCAGTGAGCTGGATCAGAAGTGGAGCAGCCTGCACTTGAACTGGTATTCAAATGGGATGCTGGTGCTGCAGGCCAGGGCGTTAACCTACTGTGCCACAGCCTTGGCCCCTATTGTTTCCTTTCTTATGCTTACTTTAGGTTCATAACTTTGGATTTTATATAATTCATCAAAATATTTTCTTGAAGTAAATTGACAGATTTTGAAACCTTGTACTCTGTCCAGATTTTGTGCATGTATCTAGGAGAAAACAGAAGATTTTGCTAATGGCAAACTTTCAGAGAGAATGAGATTGTGGTACTGTTTTTAATAAATAGATGGACATGGTGTTTCCTTTTTTTTTAATATTGATTTTTCTACCTGTTCATTTGACTCTTTCAAACTCTGAATAAAATATGTGTGAATTTTTAAAGTATTTGGCATTCCCATGATACACCTGATGAAATTCACACGGAGACTTCATTGTTAGTGTGCAGCATAATTTAAGTGAGGCAGGACATTGTCATGTACTCTTGTCTCTAATCTTAACAATCATTTAGCAAAGTACTGTATAATGTTTACTTGTAATCAAAATATACAATGTTTTAAGTCCTCAAGTGTGTCAAAATGACTGACCTACCAGGCGGTTAGGGAGTGTATTTTTTTTTTTTCCTTTGGTGTGATTTCCTGTGTTGGAGTAAGAAATACCAGTAGTGGACACTGTGGAACTTGTGTTACTCTTTTAGGTCATCTTCAGAGGTTGAATTAGAATTAAGGAAATAGGTTGCTCCACTATTTGAGCCTTCTATTTAATTGCTAAAGCAGATTTGTTTTCTGTGTAAATAGAAGCAGTTTTAGTTTTTGAGACAAGTGAAATTGGCTTAAAATCAATTTTGGGTTCTTTTGCAGATTTATTTATTGCAGATTTTAGAAGGCACATTCTTTCTTTGTTTACTTTTCTAATTCCTTACTGTTACCTTTTTCTTTTAGATCCTGTTTGACCAAACTCAGAGATCAATTAAGGCACAGCTTCAGAACTTTGTTAAAGAGTAAGTAAATTGCAGCAAAGACGAAAGAAAGATTGATGATCACATCTGGGAATTGGTATCTGTTGAAATAAATTATGGACTGTGAATTACCGAAAATATTGGAAATTTGTTATTTGCTTTGTGAGGTGTATATTACGTTTCTTCTTGAATTACTCCATGAGAGAATTAGACTTTATGTCTTCCAGTGACTTATTTACATCTTTAATATGTGTTTAGGCTATATAACTAGGGTCATTACAGCTTTAAAATTTTTTAAAATGTAAGTAAGTAATCTAATATCTTTTAAAAATCAAAGCAAACTCCCAAAGGTGGTTGAACTAGCATTATGTGTGAAACTAAGTGAAGCTAGTGGTATTTTCTTTGGAAAGAGAATAATAGGGTATATGAGAATGAGTCATGGAAGTGAACCTTTTGTGTCACAGTTATCACATTTTATCTGTGAAATAAATTGGAGTTATTTATTTTATAAATCTAAATGGTTCAAATTAGGAAAGTTTTTAGTTTTTCACATTAGTAATTTAGTTTCTCTTTCTCTCTTTTTTTAAAAAAATCATTTATTTGAAAAGCAAAGTTACAGAGAGAGCGAGCAAGAGAGAGAGAGAGAGAGAGATCTTCCATTTGCGCTGGACTGGACCAGGCTGAAGCCAGGAGTCTGGAACTTCATCCAGGTCTCCCAAATGGGTGTCAGGGGCTCAGGTACTCGGCCATCTTCCACTGAATTCTCCCAGGCATGTTAGTAGTGAACTGGATTGGAAGTGGAGCTGTAGGGACTTTTTCTTTTTCTTTTTTCTTTTCTTTTTTTTTTTTTTTTTTGACAGGCAGAGTGGACAGTGAGAGAGAGAGACAGAAAGGTCTTCCTTTTGCCGTTGGTTCACCCTCCAATGGCTGCCGCAGCCGGCGTGCTGTGGCTGGCGCACCGCGCTGATCTGATGGCAGGAGCCAGATACTTATCCTGGTCTCCCATGGAGTGCAGGGCCCAAGTACTCGGGCCATCCTCCACCGGCCACAGCAGAGAGCTGGCCTGGAAGAGGGGCAACCGGGACAGAATCCGGCGCCCCGACTGGGACTAGAACCCGGTGTGCCGGCGCCGCAAGGCGGAGGATTAGCCTAGTGAGCCACGGCGCTGGCTGTAGGGACTTGAATAGGCACGCCTATGAGATGCTGGTGTTGCAGGCAGTGAATTAACTCATTGTACCACAACGACAGCCCCTTCAGTTTTTCCCTTTTAGTGTCTACCTGAGAATACATACAGTTATAGGGAAAATTTATTATTATGTAATAATATATAAGTATGTATAATAATAAACATTATAAGCTATAAATAGTATGTCATTTACATAATAATTACTGTTTTAGTAAGTTAGCATTTGTTGTCCTGGAGCTGATGTTTTGCAGCTGCTTTATAAATTACTTTATAATCTACTAATACTCAGAATATCCTCATTGAATCTATCTTTAAAAATGTATGGCTCGGCCGGCGCCGCGGCTCACTAGGCTAATCCTCCGCCTAGCGGCGCCGGCACACCGGGTTCTAGTCCCGGTCGGGGCGCCGGATTCTGTCCCGGTTGCCCCTCTTCCAGGCCAGCCCTCTGCTGTGGCCAGGGAGTGCAGTGGAGGATGGCCCAGGTGCTTGGGCCCTGCACCCCATGGGAGACCAGGAGAAGCACCTGGCTCCTGGCTCCTGCCATCGGATCAGCGCGGTGCGCGGCCGCAGCGCGGCCGGCCGGCGGCGGCCCAATTGGGAGGGGTGAAACAACGGCAAAAGGAAAGACCTTCCTCTCTGTCTCCTCTCTCTCACTGTTCAACTTCTGCCTGGTCAAAAAATAAAAAACAAAAAAAAAAAACAAAAAACAAAAAACAAAAAAAAAAAAATGTATGGCTCCTTTCAAAGAGTTATTCTTTCGTAGGTGTACTTTAGTATAATTTAAAAAAATTCATTTGTCTTCAAGTTCCTGATAGCAAAAGTAAAATAAAGGAATGTTATATGATTTACCTAAGATTATTAGTGAATCCAGGGTTTCAGATTTTCAGACTGTTGAAAAGGATCCTGCTAGACACCCTTTATTGGTACAGTTCTTTAGGAATTGATGAATATGTGTGTTTACAGACTTACTTTATTCATGCTCTTTGACCCACTAATTCTCTCTAATAAGAAGTCAGTGTTGTTTCTTTCTTTCCTTTTTTTTTTTTTTTTAAAGATTTATTTGAAAGAGCCATAGAGGCAGGGAGAAGGGAAGACAGAGAGGTTGAGAGAGATCTTCCATCTGGTGCTTCACTTCCCAAAGAGCCACAATGGCCAAGGTTGAATCAGGCTGAAGCCAGGAGCCAGGAGCTTCATGCAGATCTACCATGTAGGTCACAGGGGTCCAAACATTGGGCCATCTTCCACTGCTTTCCCAGGCCATAGTAGACAGCTGGATCGGAATTGGAGAAGCCAGGACACAAACCGGTGCCCATATGGGATCCCGGCACTGCAGGCGGTGGCTTTACCCCTTAAGCCACAGCGCTGGCCCCAGATTGTTTTTTTTAATATCACAACTCTCCCCCTCTTATTTTTTTTTATTACTTAGAAACCTTTTATTTAAGGTATACAAACTTCATACATTTCATATGTACAGATTTAGGAACATATGATTGGTCTTACCCCACCCTCTCTCCCACCTACACTCCTACTCTTCTTCCTCCTCCTTCTCCTAATCCCATTCTTATTTTTTTTTAAAGATTTATTTATTTATTTGAAAGAGTTACACAGAGAGAGGAGAGGCAGGGAAAGAGAGAGAGAGAGAGAGAGAGAGAGAAAGAGAGAGAGAGAATAGCAGAGAGCATAGCAGAGATTGGAAGTAGAGCAGCCGGGTCTTGAATTGGCGCCCATATGGGATGCCGGCGCTTCAGGCCACTACGTTAACCCGCTACGCCACAGCGCCGGCCCCATCCCATTCTTATTTTTTACAAAGGTCTATTTTCAATTAACTTTATACACATGAGATTAACCCTAAGTTTTGTTTCTTAAAATGTGAAATATAGACTACCCATAACAGTAAAAGAAATATGTGTCCTAAAAAACCTCCTCAGATTGCTAGAATATAATGAATTATAATCTCTACTAAAGGGTCTCAGAGATTTACTTTTTAATCAAAGTGCATTATGGTGATTCTTATGTATACCACTGTTTAAAAATCATTTGATTATAAACTGGGGCCGTGGCTCACTTGGCTAATCTTCCGCCTGCAGCGCTGGCACCCCGGGTTCTAGTCCTGTTCTTCCTCTTCCAGTCCAGCTCTCTGCTGTGGCCCAGAAAGGCAGTGGAGGATGGCCCAGGTGCTTGGGTGCCTGCAACTGCATGGGAGACCGGGAGGAAGTACTTGGCTCCTGGCTTTGGATCGGTGCAGCACCAGCTGTAGCGGCCATTAGGGGAGTGAACCATCGGAAGGAAGACCTTTCTCTCTGTCTCTGTCTCACTGTCTATAACTCTCTCTCTCACTGTCTAATTCTGCCTGACCAAAAAAAATTTTTTTATTATAAAATGGAGGATGTCCTTTAATTTGCCTTCAGAAAAAACATCAACTTTGCCTTTTATGTTTCTGTAATGTGAGCTTCATAATTTATTTATGCTTTAAGATACAAAGTTTTAAGTAATGAAATGTTAGCTAGCTGTATCAGGGTTAAAATATAAATATAAATATAAATATAAATATAAATATAAATATAAATATGGAGCCCTAATTAAAAAAACATAATTCAAAGCCTGACTTTTCACATTAGATATGTTCAGCCAGTATAATCTATATAAGCATTCCCAAATCTGAAAACTCCAAGATTGGAAACACTTCTGGTTGTAAACATTTCACATAAGGGATACTCAGCGTGTAATTGAGAAACAGTGTATCTTTTAGTTGGAAAAGCTAGTAGATGTCAGACATGGTGAAACAAATCAATGTAAGAATTTAATTCTTAGGCTGGCGCTGCGGCTCACTAGGCTAACCCTCCGCCTAGCGGCGCTGGCACATCGGGTTCTAGTCCCGGTTGGGGCGCCGGATTCTGTCCCGGTTGCCCCTCTTCCAGGCCAGCTCTCTGCTGTGGCCAGGGAGTGCAGTGGAGGATGGCCCAGGTGCTTGGGCCCTGCACCCCATGGGAGACCAGGAGAAGCACCTGGCTCCTGGCTCCTGCCATCGGATCAGCGCGGTGCGCCGGCCGCAGCGCGCCGGCTGCGGCGGCCATTGGAGGGTGAACCAACGGCAAAGGAAGACCTTTCTCTCTGTCTCTCTCTCTCACTGTCCACTCTGCCTGTCAAAAAATAAAAATTAAAAAAAAAAAAAGAATTTAATTCTTAATGTTATTTTGTTGAAGTTTTTGATCAAGAAAGTTTTGTGAAAATTTCACTAAGTTTTTGTTTTTTAGAGATCTTAGAAAATTTAAAGATGCCAAGAAGCAATTTGAAAAAGTCAGTGAAGAGAAAGAAAACGCATTGGCAAAAAATGCCCAAGTACAAAGAAACAAACAGCATGAAGTTGAAGAAGCCACAAACATTTTGACAGCCACAAGAAAATGTTTTCGACATATAGCCCTTGACTATGTACTCCAGGTATATGTATTTTCCAACAGTGCTTGCTAGGCACATTGTTGTTTTTGAGTGAATGCACTGAAATGAATAAATAGTACTTTCTCTTTGACTTTAATATGAAAACATAATCTTTTATGGATTTTCACCTGTCTATGTTATCTGTTTGTGTATCACACACACACGTGTAGGTCTGTATAGCTTTGGTTCTGGTTTCTTCTTTTCATTTAATATTGTAATTTCCCCAATTTTAAAATGTTTCAAATAGCACTTTTAATTATTACACTAATTTTGTTTTATGGAGTTGCTATGCTGGTTTAATTAAGATTCAGTTATTATGTTTAGATGATGCCTGTTTTTACTGGCAATAATGAAAATACAATTTTTAATAAATGTAAGTGGTAACATCTTTATATATAAATCTTTTACCACATATCTTCATTATTATTAATCACACTGATTATTATACATCATGCATACTTTCATTTTTAATTAGTGACTCTTCTGTTCACTGGTAAGGTAGACTACACCCTCCTTGAAGCATAACTTTTGTCTTTATTGGCAATCACTTTTATGTACTCCTCTGTTTCTTTTCAGATTCTGCCTTGGATTTCCCTCCTTGGTCTACCTTTGCAGCCTTTCTTTTAGGGTTCCATTCTTTCTTTATTATTCTTTGACAGTCTCATTATGCCCCTTGCTTGAGCTGCTACCTATACACAAATGACAAAATACGTTTTATACAGAGGTACTTATATAATTTTCACATCCCTAGCTGAAATCTGTCTTTTTCTGAAATGGCTTCTCTTTCTCTTTGGACTTTATTTAACTGAATGGCATCACCCTTTTATTCTTGCAGAAGTTCAAAATAGAATTATGTCAGACATTTTCCTTTTTTCAAGCTCTTAAATCTAGCCACCAAAATGTCTGGAAAATTCCTTTTCTGTGCCTCTTAAATTTGTTCTTTCCTCACTTTTGCTTCAGGCCTAACTCAATCTTAGTGTTTCGTGTCTAGGATATTAAGATACTCTGACAAAATTGGTCTTCCTTGCATTACTTTTACCTGCTGCATCACTAATTCATGTCCCTATTCTCAGGCAAGTTGGGTTACTCAGACTTCTCGAGGCAGAATGGGTCATTCTCGTCTCTGCCTTCCTTGGGTTGTGATAATATTTTCATAAACATTGCAATTAGACCACTCATCACTTGTATTGTAAATATTTATTTTTGTGTCTTTCCTGTTCCTAGATTGTATCCCTAGTTTCTAGTCCAGTGCTTGGAAAATAGATGGGTAACAAATGCTTTTTGGCTTTAAGTTACAAATTTTATATGGAGATGGTTTAGCTAAAATACTATTTTCAAACTTATATGTTAAAAAGTATCCATTTCCTTTGCTATTAGTTCTGTAGTTTTAAGTTAGGTTTCTCTGTCTCAACACAAATAACTGTTAGGTTTTTTGATTTTTTTGGATGAGAAACTGTTGTATCATTTTATGGCCAAAGTGACTATTTTAGGGCATAGGAAGTAAAAAGTATCCAAATGTATGAAGTTTGTCATGATTTAGCTTCTCAAAACATTTTTTACATTTTTTCAAGATTTTAAATGCTTTTTTTATTGCAAGATAGAAAAAAGTCATAAAGTATCTTTTTGACAATTCTTTAAAATTTGAATAGTCTTTATAATCTCTGCTTTTACTTAAAACATTTTAAAACTACTGTTTTGGTTCTCAAAACTGAAAAGGCATTGAAACAGACATATAGAAGAAACTAGTGCCTTGTAAAGCAAAGTTTAGACTTTTTTTTTTTTTTAAGATTTATTTATTTAAAAGGCAGAGTGACAGAGAAGGGGTATGAATAGAATGAGAGCGAGATCTTCCATGTGCTGGTTTACTCCCCAAATGTCCATACAACTGGGGTTAGGCCATACTGAAGCCAGTAGGCCAGATCTCCATCTGGGTCTTCCACGTGTGTGTGGCAGGAACCGAAGTACTTGGGTGGTGGTTTACTACCTCCTACCTCCCAAGCACATTAGCAGGAAGATGGATTGGAAACTCCAAGTAGCCTGGACTTGAACCTCAGCACTCTAATATGGGATGTGGGTGTCTCAAGCAGTGGCTTAACCTGAGTACCACAATACCTGCCCTTCTTTTCTTTTTTTAAACAATTATTGTTATTACTGAATAGTTATTTATTTAAAATTTGGAGTGAGAGTGCAGGGGAGGGCCAGAAAGAGTGAGAGAGATCTTCATTTTGCTGGTTCACTTCCCAGATGCCCAGAACAGCCAGGACTGGGCCAGCCTAAAGCCAGAAGCCAAAAACTCTATCCAGATCTCCCAAATGGTTGGGCCTCCTAGGGTGCACATTACCAGGTTGCTGGAAGAGAAGTATAGATGGAACTCAAACCCAGGTACTCTGACATGGGTTGTGGCTGTGTCCTAAGCAGTGTCGTAGCCTGCTGTGCCATAGCACTCACCCTTGGATTTTTTTATTTGTTGTTTTTTTTTTTTTTTAAGATTTATTTATTTTATTTGAAAGAGTTACACAGAGAGAAGAGAGGCAGAGAGAGAGAGAGAGAGAGAGAGAGGTCTTCCATCTGATGCTTCACTCCACAGTTGGCTGCAATGGCCGGAGCTGCGCCGATCTGAAGCCAGGAGCCAGGAGCCAGGAGCTTCTTCCGGGTCTCCCATGCAGATGCAGGGGCCCAAGACTTGAGCCATCTTCCACTGCTTTCCCAGGCCATAGCAGAGAGCTAGATTGGCAGTGGAGCAGCCGGGTCTTGAATCGGTACCCATATGGGATGCCGGCGCTTCAGGCCAGGGCTTTAACCTGCTGTGCCACAGCGCTGGCCCCTGTTTTTGTTTTTTTTAATCAGTGCTCTAAAATTATAAAATAGGCTTAAATTCAGTGGGGAAAATATATTAAAAAGGCATATTTTGTAATCTTTTGGCAATATTAACATAATGATTCTTTTTTTTTCCCCAAGGATTTATTTATTTGAAAGGCAGAGATACAGAGAGAAGGAGAGAGAGAGAGAGAGACATAGAGAGATCGTCCATCTGCTGGTTCATCCCCCAAATGGCCGCAATGGCTGGGGCTGGGCCAGGCTGAAGCCAGGAGCCAGGAGCCAGGAGCTTCTTCTGGGACTCCACGTGGGTGCAGGGGCCCAAGTACTTGCTTTCCCAGGTGCATTAGCAGGGAGCTGGATCAGAAGTAGAGCAGCTGGTACTTCAACTGGCACCTGTATGGGATGCTGACACTGCAGGCGGAGGTTTAACCTTCTATGCCATAGCACCGGCCCCAGAATTATTCTCTTGAATAAACATTTTATTTCATTGAGCTTACATAAGGCAAATAAAATGTTTTGAATTTCTAGAGTTGAGAGAGATCCCATAAAAGAGATTTTTATACATGGGTTTGAATTTATACCAGTGCTACTAGGCCTTTCATAGTGTTTTGTGCCCAAGAAAACTGTAGCTGTAAACTGTTGGTTGGCCTCTGTGTTTAGACTTCTGGCACTAAAGTGGAAAAAGAAAAAAAGGGAAAAATTTTAATTTACTGATCCTTCAGTAAGTTCAGTTAAAATTATTTAGGTTTAATTTAACAAATATTTATTGAATGATATTGTTCCACTTGGGCACTAGAGCTAAGAATAAGGCAAACACCCAGATCTCATGGAACTTAGGCTTTAGTATAAATAAGAAAATTTAAGGTAGTTATAAATGCTTGGAGTAAAATAAATTGGGATGATATACTGGACAGTACATAAAAGACTACCTTGGACTTTTTATTTTTAATATTTATTTATTTGAAAGGCAGAGTGACAGAGTTATATATGAGAGATGGATCTTCCATCTGCTAGTTCACTCCCTGAATGACTGCAACTACCCACGCTGGTCTAGGCTGAAGCCAGCAGCCCAGGACTCCATCTGGGTCTCCTTCATGGATGTCAGTGGCCCAATTACCTGGGCCATTTGCTGCTGCTTTCCTAGGCACATTAGCAGGGAGCTGGATCAGAAGCAGAGCAGCCTGGACAAGAACTTTTGCTCATGTGGGAAGCCAACATTGCCAAGTGGTGTCTTAACCTGCCATGCTAGAGCGTTGGCTCCTACCTTAGATCTTTATGAGGAGATGAGACTTACGTGAGGCTTGATTGGTAAGAGATAGTCTCATGCTCATTTGGTGAGAACATCATGACATGTAGACAGAATGGCCAGAACAAGGGCATCAAGGAGGGAGAGTGGTCTTGGTCTGTGGTTGGAGCACACAATGAAAACCAAGTTGGAGAGGTAGGCAAGGGCCACATCAGAATGGGCTTTGAGCCAGCCACAGTAGGGAGTTAGAGGACTGTAAGCTGAAGTTACATGATCTTATTTATATTTTTAAAAAGGTCAGTCTGATTGGCATGTGGAGAATGGATTGTAGTGAGTCAAGAATGGAAGCAGTGGGATTAGTTCATAAAATATTGCAGCAGTCCAGAAATATGATAGTAGTGGTAAAGTGATGAGAATTTGCATTAAAATTATATGTTGAGACTTGATAAGCAATCAGATAAACAGAAGAAAGAGTGAGTGTGTGTGTGTGTGTGTGTGTGTGTGTGTGTTTGGTGGCCAGGAGAGATAGATTTCTTAGAAGTTCAAGTGTCAATGATTTCATTGCCACCATGGTATAACTTAAATGATATTTTTTCTCTGAGTTCAAAAGTGAATAGGAAATTCATAAGTATGTTTGTCCTAACTGCTTTTGTAAAAGAAGTATAAAAACTTGAAAAAAAACCTTGAATTTTATTTTTATTCGCTTTCTGGAAGAGTATTGAACCAGTAGAATAAGTTTTACCATATTGCATTATGGGTTTTTAAAGTAATGCATGGATGATTAACCAAATGTATTTTCCTTCAGATTAATGTTCTTCAATCAAAAAGGAGATCTGAAATCCTAAAATCAGTAAGATATTAATTGAAACAACATTTTAAGTATTTTACTATATAACTAAATGTACCTATTTAAGTGTTTAAAGCAGCATTGAGTGTATACATTCTAGGCTTTTTTTTTTTTAACGCATTCTGGGCTTTTAACTGCCCTTCTTTCTGATATTTATTTTTGTTTCTTATGTGACACTTAGCCACTTTTGTCTCCTTCATGTTATGGTTGTTTATGTGTAACTCACCTATTAATATACTGTGAGTTTCCTTAAAGGTAGACTTTACTTTTAAAAATCTTTTGTTATCTTGAGATGATGCTTTACATGTACTAGATGCCCAGTGCTGTTTGATGAATTACTGGAAATTGTTGGTGTAAAAACATGTGAGAATGTTTCAGGATTTGTTTTGAAATTTATAAAAATAAAATAGCATTACACTTAGTTTTTAAATTTCCTCATATTTGTGTTGGCTTTTAAATTTTTCTGCCCAAACTCAAAGTATTTATGTTTTTTCTCTATAACTTTATGTGTTATTTAGAAATTTAAAATATTTGAGATTGAGAACTTATATGAATGCATTTCTTAGATTGATGATGTGTTAGGTTTGTTCTTTGGTGTATCATTATACAACTGTGGGATGAAATTTGAGGATTATCTTTTTTCTTCCTGGTCCTCTTCACTCATATGACAGTGATATACCATTTTTAAGAATTTGCTCCCCTCCCCTTTTTTTGTGTGTGTGTCTTAAAGCTAACAAGGAGGTAGGCAGGGATGGTGTGGTATGGCATCAAATACTTTCATATTTTAAGAACCTCGAAATAATTCCTCCTCTTTAAGTTTGTTTACTGAAGCAATTTTCTCCAAAAAATACTGTACTTAACTTGCTTTAGATCATTGTCTGCACTCAACTCTTTCCTTATGTTATGTTTGTATTCATGTTATATCTTGTTAGATAAGGACATTATATTTCCTGCCTTTTTCTTTTTTTTAGAAGATAGTGTTTTCTCTCATTTTTCAGATTGACAGTAATGTGTGTTAATTGTAGAAAATTGAAAAAATGTATGAAATAAAAAATAGAAAACATTTATAAGTCCTACTACAAGGGGCAAAACCACTCTGTTGTATAGCTGAAAATATATGAATAAATGTGCTTTTTAAATTCAGTTTAAATTTTTAGAAGATTTATTTATTCAAAAGGCAGAATGAAAGTGAGACACACACACATAGATCTTCCATCCACTGGGTCACTCTCTAAATGCCTGCAACACCCCTGTGCTAGGCTAAAACCAGAAGTCAGGAACTCCATGTAGGTTTCCCACATGGTTGTCCACTGCTTTCCCAGGTGTACTGGCAGGGACCTGGATTGGAAGCAGAGCAGCCAGGGCCTGAACTAGTCCTCATAGTTAGGATACATTGCAAATGGTAGCTTAACTGCCACTCCACAACGCTAGCCCTGTGTTTAATTTTTTTTTTTTTAATCATTCAACTTACTGTTTGTAAGTTTCTTTTTTTTCACTAACACAATATTGAATCATGAGTAGTCTTCATTTAAGGATGGCTTTTATGGCCAGGAAGGGTTCTACCATGTGAATATACTTGAGGTTGGCAAATCTTTTTTGTAAAAGACCAGCTAGTAAATATGGCAGATTTTGCAGACTGTGTGGTCTGTGTGTGTTTACTGTGCCCTTGTGATGAGAAAGCAGCCGTGAACAATATGTAAATGAGTGGCTATAACTGCATTCCAATAAAACTGTGTTAATTGACCCAGAAGCCTGAAGATCATATACTTTTATATGTTTTCTTTTCTTATATTTTAAGTTTCATGTCTTTGTTTTCTTTAACCATTTGAAAAAATACACACCACTCTTAGCTCATTTGCTATTCAAAAATAGGTTTTGGGGCTTGATATAGTTTACAGGTCATAATTTGCTGACCTGGAATAATATAACATCAATTACCTTCACCCAATAATGAATATTTAAGTATGTTCCATGTTTTTTTGATCTTAGTTTCATTAATACAAATGAATTGGAGCACTTTTTTTTCCATATGTATATATTTTTGGTCACTTGTGTACTCCATAGAGATCTCTTGTTTTTTTTGGAGTGTTCGTCTTTTTCATAGGATTGTACTTCTCTTACATATTAAGACTGTTACTCTTTTGTCATATATTTTTTTCTAGTTTGTAATTTGTCTTTTAATATGCTTGCTATATATTTTGATAGATGAGCATATTTACCATTTTTGTGAAAAGCCCTAGCTTTAACCCTACTGTTTTTTTTTAAGAAAATTTATTTTTATTTTATTTTATTTTTTAATTTATTTGACAGAGTTAAACAATGAGAGATAGAGAGAAAGGTCTTCTTTCCCTTGTTTCACCCCCCAAATGGCCGCTACGGCTGGAGCTACGCCGATCCGAAGCCAGGAGCCAGGTGCTTCTCCTGGTCTCCCATGCTGGTGCAGGGGCCCAAGCACTTGGGCCATTCTCCACTGCCCTCCCGGGCCACAGCAGAGAGCTGGACTGGAAGAGGGGCAGCTGGGACTAGAACCCGGTGCCCATATGGGATGCCGGCGCCGCAGGCGGAGGATTAACCAAGTGAGCCACAACGCCGGCCCTAACCCTACTATTTTAAAAATATAATTTAGTAACTTTTAATTATGTTCACAAAATTGTATAGTTATCACTATTGTACCATTATCTAATTCCAGAATAATTTATTTTTATGAGTTTTGTTCTTCTTTCGTTTTTTTTTTTAAATTGCTTTTTTTCTACTAGAAAAAAAGGGATTCTGAATATTAAGTACCTTATGACCTATTTTGGATTTCAGAGGATTAAAAAGATGCTTCGTCTTGCTGGAAATAATGTAGATATTTGCAAGATCATTTACATATTATACATTTAATTATATAATTCCTTACCATGTAAAAGCTTCACTAATAAGGGTAATTTTTCTTTCACAAATAGATAAAACATAGGAAAAATTAGAAAAAAAAACTCAAGCTATTAATAACAGTTTTGGGTTTGTGGGATGAAAATAGAGACCTTCATCTTTTCAAAGAGTCTGTTGACTCACTTCATTTTGTTGTCTTAGGAAAGAAAACCAAGGATTCCCCCATTTCAAGTTGTGCTTAATGATCTAGTAGGTTGTAAAATATCTGTGACTGTTTTATTTTGAGGGTTTTGTATTTCTCCTTACCATTTCATTTTTTATTTGTAATTTGAGGTTTGCTAATGATTTTGAAGGAGCCCTTGGATATTTTTAATATATTTAGGAAGACAGTGAAACTTTTGAAAATTTGTTTATTTGAATCAACTGTATGAATTTGATCATCTAGAGATAGTCTGAAAAACTGAAGTTTTGGGCATTGTTAAAATTTTGAATCACTAGGAAATTTCTTTTAAATTAAATTTCTTAACCGTACTTGCAAATATTGCTGAAATATTCATTCAAGAAAAATAACAATCTGTTTTAAATAAGTTTGACACTTTGGGCTCTTGTGGAATAATTTTTAAGCATTAACTAGTGTTAGGATTTTTAAAATTGCATAATATTTATCTAGGAATGGATTTTAAAGTAGTAATCTTTTCCCCTTATTAGATGTTATCCTTTATGTATGCCCATTTGGCGTTCTTTCATCAAGGATATGATTTATTTAGTGAACTCGGACCCTACATGAAAGATCTTGGAGCACAGGTAATGTTGGGCTATTTCTTGATTCTGTATTATAGATCAGTAATTTGTATTTTTTTAAAAAAATAGCATATTTCATTTACTTAATGAAGTTGGATGCTATAAAAGATTGATATGGGTTAAATGTGTAATCAAAAATAAAATTAAAAGTGAAAATAACCATATGTTGTTACATGTTGTAGAAGAGGGTACTGAAAAGGAGAATTTAAAAATGAATTGGCTGTTTTACAGAATCCAGAACTATATTTTAAAATTTCTTACATTTGGTTAAATGAGTTAGTATCCTAATTTGCTTTTCATTTGTGTTACAAATCTTATGTTTAAAATAATTGTGTTTTGCTATTTGAATAATAAAATTTTAGAATCTTAAGATTATAGATCTGGGAACTTTTTAATTTTACCCAGATTTGCATCTGTGTGTGTGTGTGTGTGTGTGTGTGTGTACATACACACATACATATGTGAGAATTACATGTAAGAATTCTATATGTATTGAAATCTCATTGTGTCCAAATATTTTTCATATCTGATTGCAGCTTTATGTGACATCTATTCTGGGGATTTTTTTTTTATTGATTAATGAGTTTTCTTGATCTATTAGTGTCAATTTTTAGGTGACTTATTTCGAAGATGATTCAGTTTACTTTCTGAGAGTAGGGGATTTAGGATGAAAAAATAGATTTAAGGAAGTAGGAAAAAAGTGAAATGGGAATTGTATTTTTCAGTGACCAAAGTGTATGTGTGGGATGTGCTGGGAAAGAGTGAGGTGTCAGAATATACTGTGAATTACACATACTCCCTGGTTTCTGCCTCTATAGAACCTAGCATTTTGGAAGAAACCCACAAGTCAGCGACTGTAAATCTTTGTACGAAGTGCTCTATCTGAGTATATCAGTTGGGATTAGGTTTGTTTGGAAGTGATAGAAAACTAAAAACAGTAGTATCTTCCTAAAGCTTGAATTTCAGTTCTCCTGTTGGGAGTGAAAGGCATGGTATGGTGGCTACTTGACTAGCAGGGACCCAGGATACTGAATGCCTCATGATCCAAAATGATTAATCAGGGTCTAGCCATCATACTCAGATTCCAGCTAGGAGGAAGGAGGAAAGACAGATCCATTCCCTGCATTTGAGAACAATTCCTAGAACTTATACATATTATTTCTACATATATCCCCATGGCCAGTGCTTAATCCCAAGCTGAAACCTAAAAAAACCTGTATATATAGTCTTTTTTTAAAAAAAACGTTTTAAGCTTTTTATTCAGTGAGAGAAATGCATAGGAGAGTGAGGGCCCCCATCTAAAAGGAGAGAGGTAAATCTAGATTCATTCTGAGTACCAGGAGCCAGCCACGTGGAGGAGCATCTAGGCCAGAAAGCATGGGGCGGGTGGCCCAAAGACCCCCTGGGCCCACACTGGCAAAAGGCCAGAAAGGAAAGAAAAAGGGCTGTAAATATAGTCTTAATGCCAGACAGGCATGTGATCTGGTAGAATATATATACATATATCCTATACTATATTTATATTTTATACTATATATGAAGAACAAATAGAAAATAGATAATGAGGGCAGAAAAGGTTTTTTTTTTGTTTTGTTTTGTTTTTGTTATTGTTTTTGTTGTTAAATAACAAGAAGGGTCTAGGTGTTGCCTGAACAAACATACAGACAGGACATTAAATCCAGACTTGGGATAAAGGAAGACCTCCCTACGTTCTAGGCATTCCTCATTCTATCTGACATCAAGCATTAGATCATAAAAACATTCTATCAAACATTAGATAATAAAAACTATGTGAAATAATTGCATACTTTTAGAATTTATTAATTTCAGTTTGCATGTTTTTTTTCCCTCTTTAGGTCTCAAATAAGTTTTCAGGTCCTTGAAAATCACCTAAGCCCCAGTGTCTAGTGCCCAATGGATAATATGGCCTTATTGAAGATAATCAGGATATTTTTTAATAATTCACTGAAGAGATAATGGCATCCAAAACTAGAGTCCTGGCAGTAGGGGAGAGATATGGGTTAAGATAGGCTAGAGAGACATGATTAACTCAGGTTTAGATGTATTGGTTTTTTGAGGATAAGACATGTAAGTGGATATATCTGGACGTTAAGAGAGAGGAATATAGACCAACTGAATCAATAGCAAATAATTTCTAATTGCAACTACAATAGTAAATGAATTGATTCTGGGACAATTAGGTCTTTCAAAATCATAGAACTATTTTTTAAAAATATAGATGCCTGGACACCCTACCTAAGATTATACTTTTGTAAATTAAAGTCAAGATCCATTAGTGTTGAGTAAAAAGAAAAGCTGACTTGGGACAGGGACCTAAGAAAGATCAACTTTTTTTCTTTTTTTTATTTTATTATTTACTTGAAAGTCAGAGTTATACAGAGAGAGAAGGAAAAGCAGAGAGAGAGAGAGAGAGAGAGCGAGCGAGCGAGTGAGCGAGAGAGAGGTCTTCATCTGCTGGTTCACTCCCCAATTGGCCGCAATGGCCAGAACTGCAATGATCCGAAGCTAGGAGCCAGGAGCTTCTTCAGATCTCCTGTGCGGATGCCGGGGCCCAAGGACTTGGGGCATCTTTTGCTTTCCCAGGCCATTGCAGAGAGATAGATAGGAAGTGAAGCAGCTGGGACTTGAACTGGCACCCACATGGGATGCCGGCACTGCAGGCGGTGGCTTTACCTGCTATGCCACAGCGCCAGCCCCCAACTTTTTTTTTTTTTTATTCAAAGATTTATTTTATTTATTTGGAAGGGAGAATTGCAAAGTAGGGAGGGAGGGGCACGCAGGAGGTAAGGATCCAGAGGGGCATGAGAGACAGAGAGAGAGAGAGAGAGAGAGAGAGAGAGAAAGAGAATATTGATCTTCCATTCCCTGGTTTACTTTTCAAATGGCTGTAACAGCCAGGGCTGGGCCAGATAGAAGCCAAGAGCTTCTTCTGGGTCTCCCATGTAGGTGCAGGGGTTGAAGGACATTGGAAGTAGAGCAACTGGGGCCCATATGAGAAGCCAGCATCACAGGCAGCAGTTGTACTTGGTGTGCCTCAGCACCAGCTCCAGAAAGCCCAACTTTTAAGAGATGGCTAGGTAAGAAGTGGTAGATCAGGAAATAACCATGAGAGCAGGCAGGAAACCAGGAGACAGTAGTATCATAGGCCAAAGAAAAAGTATCTTGAAGAGGAAGGGGTGGTTATCAGTATCAAATATTGGAAAAGAAGATCAAGGAAACCTAGGACTTTATTGGATTTAACAGCAAGATTGGTATTTGTTACCTTTATGTGAAATGCTTTTGGAGACCCAAGTGGCAGAAGCTTAATTGTGATGGCTGATGAATTTGAAATTGGCAGGTGGAGAACATGGTAACATTAAAAAAATTACTTATTTTTATTTCTTCTTTGAAAGATAGGTGTTCCATCTACTTGTTCACTCCCCAAATGCCTGCAGCAGTTGGGACTGGGTCAGGCTGAAGTCTGTTTCCCCAGAATGCAATCCATGTTTCTTATGTGGGTGTAGACTCCAGTACTTGAGCTGTCACCTGCTTCTCAGGGTGGGCATTAGTAGGAGCCTGGAATTGAGAACAGAGGTGGAGTTCAAACTTAGGCACTTTGATATGGGGTGCACACATCCCAAGCAGCATCTTATTCACTGCACGAAAGGCTCAGCCTGAGAACGTGGTAACATTTTAAAGATGTGTTGGGACCTGTGCTGTGGCGAGTGAGTAAAACTGCCACCTGCAGTGCCAGCATCTCATATGGTCTCCAGTTTAAGACATATTTCCATGAAATTTTTGAAGATTCCTTGTATAATTATAACCATGTATAGTTGTAATTAGTTCTAATAAATAGGCATTCAGGAAACCAACAATTTCTCATCATGTATTACTGAAAATCAGATACTTCTCTTGTGACGAAAAGGAAAAACATCTTTTCTAATGAAAAGAAACAAGACAGAGATGTGATTTTATGATGTCATTAAATTTTTTGAACTTTTTCGAAATGAACCTTAAGAATTGGTAATTTTAGGGACTGGCATTGTGGCACAGCAGGTTAAGCTACCACCTGCAATACCAATAGCATTCCATATTGGAGTCCTGGCTGCTCTGCTTCTGATTCAGCTCCCTGCTTATGTGCCTGGGGAAGCAGCAAGTGATGGCCTGAGTGTTTGGGCCCTTGCTATCTAGGTGGGATACCAGGTTGGAGTTTCAGGCTCCTGGCTTCAGTCTAGACCAGCACTGGTTGTTTTGACCATTAGGGGAGTGAGCCAGTGTTTGGAAAATCTCTTTCTCTCCCTCTCTGTATCTGTCACTCTGCCTTTCAAATAAATAAATAAATTTTTAAAATTGATAATTTTATATCTTGGTGTTATGAGTGATTTCTGTTCTTTTATTGTTAAACTTTTTCTTGTGTCTGGTGAATGATTTTCTTCCCTTTAGATTTGATTATAACATCAGTAGGGCAAGTTGAAAAAAATGAAGCATCTTGAGTGCTCGGAAGTACCCATTACAGTGACCTTGTAGGAGCTATTCGCACTGGTTTAGCTGTACTGCATTTTACTATTCGATACCTAGGGGAAGAGAGAGAGAGAGAGAGAGAGAGAGAGAGACAGTTAACTCTTCAGATGCCCGCAGTGGTCCCTGGCTGGGGCTGATCAGGGAGCTAGGAACTCAATACAGCTCTCCCTCATGGGTGACTGTCTCCTGCTGCCTCCCAAGTATGCATTAGCAGGAAGCTAGAATTGGTAACAGAACTGGGACTTGAACCCAGGCACTTTGTCATGGGATATGGGCATGCCATTCCATGTCTTTAACCACTAGGCCAAATGCCTGGCCCTGCTTTCTACTAATTGAGGGGTAGGGGGGACAATAGTGTCTCCTTGTAACTTTGATTGTAACTAGTAAAATTAGCTGGGTCCGTCAGCAATCATTAAGGGATTGTCATTTTCCTTATTTACGTACTGAACATGTATCACTGCAGTGCCCATAACAAGTCCTCCTGTGACACATGCTTGGCACCATGACTATTCTGGAAACAAGAAGGAGGAGATGCAGCCCTTCTCAAGGAGGATTTGATACAGAAAAACATGAAACTTGTATTTAGAGTTTAGCTAAATGCCTTTTTCAGTAAACTTAAATTTAATGACTTATTGCTATGTTTATCTAGGAAATGACTTGGATTATGATTGGAAAAAATAACCATACCTTTTTTCTTTGAGTTGTAATTCTACAATTTTTTTGCCCATTTATAGTTGGATCGACTAGTTGTGGATGCAGCAAAGGAGAAAAGAGAGATGGAACAAAAACATTCCACCATTCAACAAAAGGTACCTGAAGGGAAAAATTACAGGAGGTTATTTGCACAATTGTTTGACTATTAGTTTAAGCAAGATACTATTTGTCAAGTCTTTTGAGTTGCTACAATAATTAAATCATGTGGATGAATTTCTCCTCTTTTTGGGGGGGGGAATTAATGAAAATTTTAGATGTTGAGTATTTTATTATCTTTCTAATCAAAACATTTATAAGCAATACTTTTGAACCAGTTCATAAAACCCTTAATCTCCTAGAGCCTTAACTAAATTAAAAATAGCTCTTATTTTAGAATTTAAAATGTTATTCATAGTTTCATTTAGGATATTACTAACTCCAAATAAAGTGTGTGTGTCAGACAAAAGAAAGAGGGAGGGAGGATATTAGTGTCAATATATATGTTTGGTATTATGGACTTTCTAGCTTCAGTCTCTAAGGCAGCACCTCTTCCCCTTACCCCCTTCTCAGCCATCTGCTATGTGATTTATTATCTAAACTCATTTTTGAACAAAATGTTTTAAAACAAAAACTCCACAGCAGGCCAAGTGTCCCATATAGAAGTGATGGTTTGAGTCCTGGCTACTCTGCCACCCATCCAGTTCCATGCTAGTGTGCCTCAGAAATCAGCAGAAGATGAACCAAGTACATGGGCCCCTGCCACTCATGTGGGAGACCAGGATGGAGTATCCTGCTTCTGGCTTCAGTCTGGTCCAACCCCAGCTGTTGTGGCCATTTGAGTAGTGAACCAGCAGATAGAAGATCTCTCTATCTCTTTCTCCCTCTCTCTGTCACTGTGCCATTCAAATAAATAAATTTTTTTCTTGTTAAAGATTTATTTATTTTAAAGAGTTACACAGAGAGATGAAGAGAGAGAGAGAGAGAGAGAGAGATACCTTCTATCAGATGTTTCACTCCCCAAATGGCCTCAACGGCTGGGGCTGGGCCAAGCTGAAGCCAGGAGCAAGGAGTTTCTTCCAGGTCTCCCATGCAGGTGCAGGGGCCCAAGTATTTGGGCTATCTTCTGCTGCTTTCCCAGGCACATTAGTAGGAAGCTGGATTGGAAGTGGAGCAACTGGGTCTTGAATGGACACCCATATTGGATGCCAACGTCCCAGGCTATTCTACAACGCCGGCCCCTAAATAAGTCTTTTAAAAATAGTAAAAAATTTTGCCTAGAGCAAACTGAGTTATTGCTATCTTCTCTAATACATCTTTGGCCTCTTTGTACCTTCCTCTCTCTTAACCCAGATAAACATTCAAATTGATAAAAATGAATTACAGGAAAACAGGATTATTCCTACATAAAAAGGATTAAAGGGATGCAGAGGGAACAAACTGAGGCTGGGATAGGAGGAGAGTGTGTGGGAACGACAAAGGTGGAAACAGTTAAAAAAAAAACTCAGATTGGTTTGTTCACGCTAAAAGAATTGAGTGTGATATGCCTGACAATACTATTTTATCTTATGTGATCAATGATATTTTTTGTGTGGTGAAAAGAAAGAGTTGAAGATTGAGTGCAGTAAAGAAAGTGTGAAATGAGAGGCCTTGTGGCAGTGCTTTAAGTAATGAACAATCAAATCAGCTTTTGTTAAGATTGATTTAGACTTAAATATAAAGTATGGGGACAATATTGTGGTGCAGGAGATTAATCCTCTAATTGGTATCTCCTCATTCCATATCAGTACTGGTTCACGTCCTGGCTTCTCTGCTTCTGGCTAATGCATCTTGGGAGGCAGCAGATGATAGCTTAATTACTTGAGCCTCTGCCACCCATGTGGGAGACCTGTTTGGAGTGCTTGGCTTCTGGCTTCAGCCTGGCCCAGCCTCAGCTGTTGAAGTCATTTGGGGATTGGATGGAAGATGCATCTCTCCCTCTCTGTCACTCTGCCTTTCGAATAAATAAATCTTTAAAAAATATATACAGTAAACTAGATCTGACAGATAATCTCAGTGGACAAAATATAAGCAAAATAAATAATAACAGTAAATAAAATTAAATTGATGATGGATTGTTAATGCTTAAAGAGAAGTGATATTAAAAAATGAGATTTTCTGCTAGAACTGTTTTTTTTTTAGAAAACTTTAATAAATATAAATTTCGAAAGTACAACTCTTGGATTATAGCAGTTTTCCCCCCATAACCTCCCTCCTACCCGCAAACCATTCGGTCTCCTACTCCCCCTTCCATCCTACTGTTCATTAAGATTCATTTTTAATTATCTTTTTTATTTTTTTATTTTTTTATTTTTATTTTTTATTTTTTTGACAGGCAGAGTGGACAGTGAGAGAGAGAGAGAGAGAGAGAGAGAAAGGTCTTCCTTTGCCGCTGGTTCACCCTCCAATGGCCGCCGCTGCAGCCGGCGCACCGCGCTGATCCGATGGCAGGAGCCAGGAGCCAGGTGCTTTTCCTGGTCTCCCATGGGGTGCAGGGCCCAAGCACCTGGGCCATCCTCCACTGCACTCCCTGGCCATAGCAGAGAGCTGGCCTGGAAGAGGGGCAACCGGGACAGAATCCGGCGCCCCGACCGGGACTAGAACCCGGTGTGCCGGCGCCGCAAGGTGGAGGATTAGCCTATTGAGCCACGGCGCCGGCTCTAATTATCTTTATATACAGAAGATCAACTTAGTATATACTAAGTGAAGATTTCAACAGATCACACCCACGCAGACATACAAAGTATAAAGTACTGTTTGAATACTAGTTTTACCGTTAATTCGCATAGTACAACACATTGACAGAGATCCTACATAGAGAGTAAGTGCACAGTGACTCCTGTTGTTGATTTAACAATTGACACTCTTATTTATGACATCAGTAATCATGTGAGGCTCTTGTCATGAGCTGCCAAGGCTATGAAAGCCTCTTGAGTTCACAAACTCTGACCTTATTTAGACAAGGCCATAATCAAAGTGGAAGTTCTCTCTTCCCTTCAGAGAAAGATACTTCTTTCTTTGATAGCCCTAAAACCTTTTTTTTTTTTTTCAAGATTTATTTATTTGAAAGGCAGAGTGACAGTGAGTGAGAAGGAGAGAGAGAGATACATATATCCTCTATTGCTGGTTCAGTCCTGCTGGGGATGGGCCAGGCCAAAGCCAGGAGCCAGAAACTTCATCCAGATCTCTCATGTGGGTGGCAGGAGCCAACACACTTGGGCCATCTTCCGTTACTTCCCCAGGTGCATTAGCAGGGAAAACTGGATAGGAAGTGGAACAGCTGGGACTCAGACTGGCACCCATATGGGATGCTGACATTGCAGGCAGCAGCTTAACCTGCTGTGCCACAGTGCCCATAAAACATCTTTAAATTAATTAGTTATTGTTAGGTGAGATTAATGCCATGTTTTCTTTTGTGTTATTTAAAGTTATATTAACTTTTATTCTCAGCTTGGTTGAATAACTTTTTTTCTTAATTGACAAAAATTACACATATGTAGGGTATACAACATACTTTGATGGGTAAATTGTTTTAATGTCATCATGAAAAGATTATTAAAATTGAGACCAATCAATTAAAATAATAGAGCTTATTTATAGAAATATGTGAATATTTGCTTAAATTGCATTACTTAATGAACATTATTCATGTTTAATGTTTCCCTATTTTATACACAGTTCATTATTGTAATAAAGGTTTAAATCTAAGATTAAACTTTGATTTTAAGCCCAGTGGTTTTCTTGAAAGAAAATAATACTGTTTTTGCTCATTATGAATACTTACTTTTTTTCTGTCCTTTAATGCTGACACAAGGCTGCATTACAGGTAAAAAAAATTCAGGCAAATAAAAATTAACAAAGTATATCTTAAGTATGTTTAGTTTTTTCAAGAATTGAAATTGGTCAGTTGAAGAAACAGTATTGCTGTGAGCATTCACATACCTCCTTTCTGATATGTGTACCCATTTGTAATGAATTTGTACCTATCAGTAAAACTGATGTGTCAGAGTATGTATATGTGTTCAACATTAATAGATAAAGCTAAATTGTTTTCCAAAGCAACATTGTGTGAGAGTTCTCATTGTTCCTTGCTACCTTGTTGTATTGGAGAACTTGAAATTTTTGCCTCAATTGGGTAGATATTGACATTTCATTGTAGTTTTAACATCTACTTCTTTAGTGATTAATGAGCTCAAGGACTGTATTCCGTATGTCAGTCATTTGTATATCCTATTTGTGAAATGTCTATTAGTGTTATTTTTCCAGCAAGTTGCCTAACTGTTGAGCTAATTCTTCATATAATCTGGATATAAGCCCCCTTTTAGATAAATGTGTTTTCAGATTTTTCATATAATATATTAGTCTTATTGTGTCTTGTTCAATAAATCCTTTTGAATATAAGATCACAAAGATATCTTCTGTATTGATTTGTTTTTCAAGTTTAGACCTTTAATCTGTAATTTGGGGATTTCTGTATGGTATGAAGTAAAGTTCCAATTTCCTTTTATTCTTCTATTGTAATTGGTTGACCCAGATCACTTATTAAAAAGTTTGCTTTTTCTCCACTGCTCTTTGTTGTATTCTGTATTATACATCACATTTCCTTACGTGTGAACCTTGTTTAGGCCCTCTTATCTGTTCCATGGTCTTTTTGTCTTAATTGTTCCAGTATTATGCTGTCTTAATTATTTTGAGAGTTAGAGTCAATCCTGATATTTAATAAAGCAAAGCTTCCTTCTCTCCCCTCTTCAGATGTGAATTGCCTAGTTTGGCATTTCTGTAGATTTCAGGAACAATTTTTCAGAGTCCATAAAAATAGTTTTTGTGATTTTGATTGGGATTAAGTTAGGTCTTTGGGATCAGTTTGGGAGAAAATTAATGTCTTTATTTAATAATACTTTCTAATCTATGAGGTTGGTATAGTCACCATTTATTTATAGTTTAATAATCTTCATAAAGTTTTGTGGTTTTCTTGTACATCTTTTATTAGATGTGTTATATACTTTGCAAATGTTATTGTAAATGCTATCTATTAAAGAGTTATATTTTCACTGTTTCATTGTGTTATAGTAGAAAATAAAATAGATTTTTCTGTATTGTTTTTTAATGAATAATGCTCCTAAACTATTTTCTTATATTGATTTATCTCTAGATTCTTTTGGAGGTTCTATGTACAGAGTCTTATAATCTACAAATAATGATAGTTTGTTTCTTTCCAATTTGTATTTTATCTTACTGATTAGTTAAAACCTTCATCCTAATCTTGAAAGGAAGTGGTAACTACATTTTTTCTTATCTTGCTGGAAATTTCAAAGGGAAAGCTTATATTAGATTCTCTTCATTGACCAATCTTTGTTTTGCCTTCTGGGCTGCATACCAAAGCTCAGGTTCTCTTGATACGGAAATGTCCTTAAGAATAACTGGTTTCCTTACTTTACCCACTTCTTGCTTCTAATTTCTACTTCATCTTTTGTCTTTGAATAATCCATATTTTTAAAACTTTTTATTCATTTTTAAAAAGATTATTTATTTGAAAGGCAGAGTTAAAGAGAGGCAGAGGCAAAGAGAGAGATCTTCCATCTGCTGGTTCACTCCCCAGATGGCTACAAAGGCTGGAGCTGGGCTGATCTGAAGCCAAGAGCCAGGAGCTTCTTCTGGGTCTCACTTGTGGGTACAGGGGTCCAAACATTTGGACCATCTTCTACTGCTTTCCCAGGCCATAGCAGAGAGCTGGATCAGAAGTGGAGCAGCTGGGTCTTGAACCAGCGCCCATATGGGATGCCAGCACAGCAAGCAGTGGCTTTACCCACTATGCTACAAAGCTGGCCACTGAATAATCCATCTTAATTTGTTGGGTCACCAATACATTTTAAAGAGATTCTAACAGCATATATTTCATCCAACATTATTAATTGTGGACATTAGGAACTCTATCACATTTTAAATATTGTAATCTGTCACATTTTAAGTGCTATGAAATATTTGTTATTGATATTGAATGATTAATTTATATGAAGGAATATAGTTTGAAATTTGAGAAATACTTGTATTGCAGTATATTTTCAAAAGTATCATTTTTAAAAAAACGACTTATTTGAAAGGCAGAGTTATAGAGAGAGAGGGAAAGGGAGGGGAGGGAGACAGAGAGAGAGAGAGAGAGAGAGAGAGAGATTCTGTCTGCTGGCTTATTCACTCCCCAACTGGTCGAAACAGCCTAGGCTAGACCTGGGCCAGCCTGAGGCTAGGAGCCAAGAGCTAGGTGCTTCTTCCAGGTCTCCCACATGGATGTGGGAGCGCAAGGACTTGGGCCATCTTCTGCTGATTTTCCAGGTGCATTAGCAGGGAGCTGGATCAGAAGTGGAACAGCCAAGATTCGAACCAGAGCCCATGTGGGATGCTGACATTGCAGTTGATGGCTTACCCTGTTGTGCTATGATGCTGGTTCCAAAAGTCTTATGTTTTAAGTCGCTAATCAGGGTTATTGAAAACTTACAAATGAAATCTTTAGAGTGCTACTGAAGTCAGTTACATCTATTACTGACTGCAAGGTGTCCGGCATCTAACAAATCTTCCCAGGCAGATGAATCAATTAATTCACAAGCTCTTTTTGGGATTCCGCTTCCAGGTGAGGTTCCCTGGTCCCAACAGAGCAGGGGCTGGGGAAGTCGCACGTCAGAGGTTGGGAGGGCTCCTTTTATAGATACAGGGCATGGGGGTTAAAGGTTGAGGCGGGTCTGATCCTCATTGGTTGACCTTTAGGCACCCGCGGGAACCTTGACAAGGACTTTTCTTCCCCGGAAGTACAGGTAGGGACTCTCCATTCCCAGAAGTATAGGCCTTCCCTCCTTGTGGATCCCAAAGCTACCACTGACTTAATCCTATTTTCACAAAAATTTAATAGATCATAGTCTCAAATTTTAAATGAGGGAATTAAAGTTTCCCTGATTTTTAAAGAAAGAAATATGAGATTACCGTGATGGCACCAGTATGTTGGGTTTCTGCTTGCCCAGTTGGAGTTCTGGCCACTCAGCTTCTGATCCAGCTTCCTGCGAATGCACCTGGGAAGGCAGCAGAAGATAGCCCAAGTACTTGGGCCCCTGCCACCCATGTGGGAGACTCCAATGGAGTTCTGGCACCTGGCTTTGGCCTGGCCCAGATCTTGCTGCTCTGGCCATTTGGGCAGTGAACCAACAGTTGGAAGGTTGCTCCCGTTGTTTCATCCTTTTTGTCTGTCACTCTTACTTTGAAAGCAATCCATCATAAAAGGAGTAGTAGGAAGAAATGTAGTGATTCATTTACAGATCTTATTTCACTTGCTCATTTTGGGTTATAATATCTTGTAATTGTTAAAGTGTGAAAGGTGCCCTCCGATTCCCCTCCAGACTGGTAATTCAGTCTGTGTCTTGTTCACATCCTAGTAGACTCTCAGAATCTGGAAGACTTTAGGTTTTAGGTGATTCTCACTCTGCCTGCCTTCCAAGGCAGGATCCCCACTCAGAGTATTCTCAGCAGGCAGTCATCTGCCTCTTCTGAAAATGTTTTTTAAGACAGGCAGCACTCTCATTTTAACCAGTGGTCCAGGAGTGCTTTTGAAAGGTCTGACTGGGCCGGTGCTGTGGCGTAGTGGATAAAGCTGCCTCCTGCAGTTCTGGCATTCCATATGGGTACTGATTCAACTCCTGGCTGCTCCACTTTTGATCCAGCTCTCTGCTGTGGCCTGGGAAAGCAGTTGAAGATGACCCAAGTCCTTGGGCCCCTGCACCCACATGGGAGACCCTAAAGAAGCTCCTGGTTCCTGGCTTCAGATTGGCACAGCTCCTGCCATTGTGGCCATCTGGGGAGTGAACCATCGGATGGAAGACCTCTATCCCTACCTCTGCCTCTCTGTAATTCCGCCTTTCAAGTAAATAAATTTTTTCTTTTAAAGATGTTTTAAAAAAATTTATTTGAAAAAGTTACAGAGAGAGGTAGAGACAGAGAGAGAAGTCCTCCATCTGCTGGTTTACTCCCCAGATAGCCTCAACGGCCGGAGCTGCACCGATCTGAAGGCAGGAGCCAGGAGCTTCTTCTGGGTCTCCCACGTGGGTGCAGGGGCCCAAGGACCTGGCCATCTTCTGCTGCTATCCCAGACCATAGCAGAAAGCTGGTTCGGAAGATGAGCAGCTGGGACTAGTACTGGCGCCCATATGGGATGGTGGTGCTTCAGGCCAGGGCATTAACCCACTGTGCCAGTGTCTGCCCCAATAAATAAATCTTAAAAAAAAAAAAAAAAGAAGAAAATAAGAAAGGTCTGACTGGCTTTTATAAGTTTAAATTTGCTGACAGCAACAGTCTTGCAATTTTGTTCAAAATACTTGGGTAGTTTGTTAGGAAATAACATTCATTTCTGATTTCCAGATTTCATGAGTTCTTGGGAGGAAAATTGAAAATTGAGTTGCATTCAAGTGAACAGTTGATTAAAATGATAGCATGGGACTCAGTGATTCCATGATCCTAATGAAAACATGAGCTCAACATGCCTACTTCAGATTGTGGGCTAAGAGGTCCTTCTCCTTTGTAATACTAAATTTTATTTTCTGGGAAAAAAAAAAAAAACTTCTATAGATCCTGTATCTTATTCCTGAATTTCTCAAATAGTGTCATTATTACTCCTGTAAGATTCAAAAACTACTATTATACTAATATATTTAGAAAATAGTGGTAGACTTAAATAAACCCAATTAAATATATCCATATGTTTTTAAAATTATTAATGTATCACCACAAAGCATTAGGATAAAATGGAAGAGTTTAAAATGTCACATACTGTGTAGTATTTAGCTGTTCCCTTTGTTTGTGTACATATTGTTTGTGCCATTGATCAGTTCATATAATTCATATTTTCTGTTCTCTTTTACAGTATATTTTATATAATCTGAGTTTTTATGTCATCATTAGGATTGCATAATCATCCGCTGAATTGAAATATGTCAATATCTGTTATTGGTCATTTAGGCCCTTCTCCTCCTTTGTTAGGAATATTTTTCTCATAACTGACTTAATACATAGATTTTCTTACTTCTGAGTTCTTTCCCTAGACTAAATTTACTGTCTAGGGAACCTAGGCAAGTCTAATAAACTTTTTTCTGTGTTGATTTGTCTAGGATTTCTCCAGTGATGATTCTAAGTTAGAATACAACGTCGATGCTGCAAATGGCATTGTTATGGAAGGCTATCTGTTCAAGCGAGCCAGCAATGCCTTCAAAACTTGGAACAGGTAATATATTTCAAATACTAGCTGTGATCTTTCAGCATTTGCAGTTTTCTGACTTTCCCCGAGATTTGGCAACTCCTTTCTCCATTCTCTTAAATTCTGTAAATTCCATAGTAGCATTTCTGAACTTGTTGCATTGAAGAAAATATACTCTGAGAAACAGCTGAAAAAATGAAAACAAAGGAAGCAAAGAGAATTTGCTTTCTTGGTTTAGATCATCACAATAAATATAACTGAATATGAGCCGTCTCTGATAATTGTTATAAAATAGTTGTCAGTACAAATTATATATTGAATACAGCAGATCAAAAGGACAAGTGAACTGTTTTTTCCTTTTTACTTGTAGTTTCTCCCTTATCTGATTTTTATGTACATTTTTACTCATTGTTTGCCTATTAATTATTTAGCTAGATAATTATAATCTGTTAATCTTTGCAATAACTTTCATTAGGCAAGGGTTTTAAGGAATGGAATTTTCTTTCACATGTGTGGCAGCAGATGGCCCTTTAGTTTAAACTTGACAACTATCCAAAACTTTGAATTATTGCTAAATTAATTTTTATAAGATACACACCAGTAAATGTTAAAAGCATAAATGTACATATATTTAAGGCATTTTCTCCTTTATTAATATAATAAGATAAAATAATTTCATATATTATAGCATCAAAAAAAGATTGGTAGTCTCAGGATCATCTTTCTGAATATCAGTGATTAATCTTTTATTCAAAGATATCTGTTTTTTGCAAAAAAGGTAGAACAGTTTTATAATTATTAACGTATTTGAGTTCTGGGTTAATTGATTTACTGTTAAATAGTAAATATGTGCTGAAATATATATATTTTATTACTTGAACAGAATGTAAATTTACCTAATGATAGAGGAGGTTGTTTTTGTTTTTGGAAAAAAAATGGACATTAGCAAAATAAATAAAAATTTCCAGGTAAGTTTAATTTAGTTTACATTTTTGTTAATTTAAAACATCTAATGATTTATTGAAATGGATTCCTGGTGCACTTGTTTTGATTTCTTGGCTTTGAAATTATATAATGAAAACATTGAAAATGTCAGTGATTTATTGAGTGTTTCCTTAACATTTGATATTGCCAAATGTTTAATTTGTTATTCACAATAATTTTTCTTTGCCTGAGACTGAATATAAACTGGAAAGAATAATGATTGTATTTAATATTTCACCCCTTTAAGTTACGCAGAACTTTAAATATACTGCATGAATATGGGAAGATCAGCTAAAGTGTTCTGGTTAGTAATGAAATTTCGAACTACTATAAACTTAAAGTGAAAATTAGCATTTTGTTATCTAGGCCCTAAAAATGAAGACAAGAATTTTTAAAAAATATTTTATTCATTTGAAAGATAGAGTTATAGGTAGAGAGAGGGAGAGACAGAAAAGTTTTCCATTCGATGGTTCACTCCCCAAATGGCTGCAACAGCCTGAACTGGGCTGATCCAAAGCCAGGAACCAGGAGCTTCCTTTGGGTCTCTCACATAGGTGCAGGGGCCCAAACACTTGAGCCATCCTCTAGTGCTTTCCCAGACCATAGCAGAGAGCTGGATCAGAAGAAGAGCAACCGGGACTTGAACCGGCGCCCATATGGGATGCCAAGGCCACAGGCAGAAGCTTAACACACTACACCACAGTGCCAGCCCCAGAAATTTTTAAGTTTCTGGGCAAATTCTTTAGCCAGAGTAAGAAATTAACAAAAGCATAGTGTTTATGAATCCTTATAATAAATAAGGATTACTCAACCAATATGGTTTTATGATATAATGTTAGAACTTAATGTTAACCTTTGAATTTCAAAGCAGCCCACTTAAAGTTTAACAAAGTGAAGATACAGTAAATCCATGAAAAAATTCCATTATGTTAAGAAGAAGATAAATGAATGTTCATGGATTATTCCAAAGAGAAATAACCTCAGACTTTAAAATAAAGCAAAGTAGATGTTAGTGAAAAATTGCATGCTACTTAGGACAATAGAAGAAAATTAATTATGATTCAATCATGGATTTTTTTTTCAATTTTTACTATCTGTTTTATGAATTCCGTTAATTGGCATAAGTATTTAAATGCCACTTAAATCAAGTATTGAATAGTTTAAATTCTTAATTGTAGATGTATTACCTGTCACTTGGAAGGTAAAAGACAAGAACTTTGTACATTAGGATGCTTTTTACAAGAAATATCATCTGTATGTGGTGAGATGATGTTATTGGTTAGAATTTCATAGTTCAGTGTCTTAATTTTCAGTAAAGAAATAATGCTTTACAGAGATGATTGCACTAAGAAAGTAGTATAACTGGCTTACAAAAAATTGAGAGACAGAACTTGGAACTCTCAACTCTTACTCAAGTATGCTTTAGCATTTTATTTAACTTGTTTTGGAAATTCCAAATAATCTGTGCTTTGATATAAAAAATATAATTTCAACTACTAAAACTACTTCACTATTAAAGAAATTCATAATCCTTTTACATTAATAGGAAAAATTGTGGATTGCAAATTAATTTCATTTTGATATGCTTTTAAAGAACATTTGAGGAAAACAATAGTAAAAAAAGACTAGCATATAAAAATAAAATTTTCTACAAAAAAACAGAAGTCAAAACCGTCAAAAAAAAGTCTTTAAGTATTTTCCAGGTTATAGGTAAGGAACTGTATAGAAGGAGAAGAAAGAAGAGTAATCTAATATTATTTAGAATTTTCTTTGACTTTTCAGTATTAAAAATTTAGAATATATCTTAAGTTTCTTAAATGAGGCTTATCAAAATGCTAATATTAAGAAATTATAGTCTGTCCTATTTCTCTTTTTAGTCCTCCATCCAGCTTAATTTAGTGTGTTGTACTGGCCTCTGAGTGAAAGACTATTTGTGATGTTTGTGCCTTCTTAAAAAAAAAATCCAGGGATCAGCTATTCAAATATGAAGATTTTAATGCCCACTGCTTTTTTTTAAGGTTACTTATTATTTATTTTTTTAGGGAATATTTTTGTTGTGGTGGTGGTCACCATAAGGTTCCAATTATATGATGATTATCATTATCTATAGTTCTGTGAAATTATGCCATATAGCATTTTAAAAATAAACTTTTAAAAAGACTTCCATCTTGAGTAAAATGTGAATGTGGCTAGGAATTTCCAAACAGTTTAAAATTACTCTGTATTTCATAAATTATTAATATGTTCTGATACTGCCATTCTATAATTTGAAATTTAACAGGATAGATATTTTGTATGATTTGATTCAAGTAGCATAAAGAGTGAAAAGCTTTACATCTTACCTGAACTCTGGAGCTTCTTTCTGATTGATTTTAGATTTCTTACTTGTGATATATCAAAATTATATATGCCTGTAATGTAGTTGGCCCTCTGTATCTGTGGTTCTATATATGCTGATTCAGCCAGCTTTGGACCACAAATGTTTGGGAAAAAAATTACTTTATACTGAATATATATAGACTTCTTTTTCTTGTTATTATTCTCTAAACAATGTAACAACTATTTATATAGCATTTACATTGTATTGGGTATTATATGTATTCTAGAAATGATTTAAAGTATGCAGGAGGATATGTGTAGATTATATGCAAATACTAAGCCATTTTGTTTAAGGCACTTGAGCATCCTCAGGTTTTGGTATTCATGAAGGGTTCCAGAACCAATGCCACATGGATACTGAGGGATGACCGTATATGTTTTTCTGAAGACACATCTGAGGTTTGCCACAATAAATTTTTTGTATCAGGTCATTTTCTCAGTGAGGCAACTTCACTTCAGGCTCTAAACAGTGCATTATTAGCACTTAACATGTCTTCTTTGCTTTTCATGATAAATTTGAAAAAAAATTAATGAGGAAAATTAAAAATTGATATATTTTAATAACTTGAAAAAGCTAATAAAGAAGCTGAATACCTTCCTATACCCAATCTTTGTTGCATAGAAAATAATTAAAAACATAAACGGTATTATACAATTTTAAAAAGTGAAATGTTCTATATGCTTTTCATATAGGTATATATTCTTTTTGCTGACTTTTAAAATAAGTGTATATATTGATTGAAGATGAATCCTACTTATATATAGCCTTAGAGTTTCTGCTGTCGTTGGGTGAAATAGAGGTAGACACTGGTGAGAGAAAGGTTTATTTGATTAGTGTTTTATGATTCTTAAAATTCTTAATTAATGATCCTACTTTTCTTAAGAAGAGCTTTTGTTTGTCTTAGACCTGTGTAAGTTCCTACTTTGATCATTTCCCTTAATTTTTAGGAAGAACTTATTAAGACTAGGCAAGGCTTATCTGTATTTTATAGCTGTGACCATACTAGCAGAAAATAATAGCTGAGCTATATCCAAGTGCTCTAAGTCTTTAAGAACGTTCTATAACATAATACTTGAAAGTTTTTGAATATTTCTGAAATATTAGTGTTTTAGATTCCTAAGAATAGGAATTCATTGTATGACATTATGTGTATAATACATATATCAATGCAACAGATACATTTGACTATTTTTTAGGTTAAGAGCTTAGGCTTGTTCCTTTAATTCTTGCTTTATTTTTGTATCATGCTAGTCCTTTGCTTATTTTGCACATTTGCATTTTCTTTCTTTTACCACCTTCCCTTATGTTTTAATCCTGCCCCATTTTTTCACATGACAGGAAAAAGCCCGATCATATCAGGTACCAAATGGCTTCCTTCCCTTCACCCTCATCTGACTTCAGTTTCCTCTTGGGCACGAGAAAGCTGATAATTAACCTGCATTTCAGTGGGATTACTTGCAATGGATAAAGTCTCTATACTTTAAATTGGAAATAAAATGTAAACATTATTCTACCTTTGAATTGCTCATCTCCTCAATTTGTTTTAATCTGTAAAAGAACATTTGATGTGTTTATAATTGTCAAAATAAGATACACACTGAGTAATATTAATACCTTTCTTTTTTTTTTCAGAAGGGAAATAGTTAAGTAAACTCCTTCTAAAAACTGAATAGTAATTCTTTTGGTAGCAACCATATTAATTATGTTGAAAAATACATTTTCAATTTCTAAATTTTCTCTTACTATTTTTCTCTCTGTAAAAACATAAATTGAATTTGAAATAAAGAGCTTATACATGATTAAGCTTTTAATTTTATCAAATATTTACCTATTTAGCACCTACTTATGAATTTGTGAATGCATAATCTGTATAGTTTTATTGCTAAAGCTTATATAGATTTAGAAGTTTAACTTTCACTCATGTTCTTAATTTTAAGTGTAGTCTGGGACTAGTGATCAATATAGTGAGAAATACCTGATATACAGATACATATATATATTTTTTTTCTTTTCCACTCAAGTTTTGTCTGGAAACACTCAGATATTGACATGTCAAATTTAATAATATTTAATTAGTTATACATTTATTGTTTTGATTTAAGATCTTTATTATGTTGTTATTTCAACTTGTTCTAACTATAAAGTGGTATCTTATTTTTCTTTATGAAGCAAAGTATTTTCATCTTTAAAAAATTGCTTTTGACTTTGTATTTAGTTTCTGAATCTTACAGATATAATGTAGTACTTTTAGGAGTACTGTGCTTTCCAAAGTTTGCCTCTTTGGACCTAATGATTTTTTTGAGTACTTTCAACTCTGAGGTATCAAGTGCTTTAAGCATTAGATATATTTTTATATTTATAGGACATGAGCTGTTTCTAAGTCTCATTTTTCCTCTACCTAGGAATGTTGATGATATGAGTATCATATAGCAACAATTAAAAATTATCTATTTTACTTACCTGGTTAAAGTTTTGACCAATGTTAGTTGACTATGGTTAGCACTTTAAAAAAAAAAATGGTAATTTGAGGGGCAGAGAGATAGAATGTTCTCCCATCTGCTGGTTAATGCCCCAAATACCTACACAAGGAAGGACTGGGCCAGGCCAAAGCCAGGAGCCTGGAACTCTATCTTGGTCATCCACATGGGTGGCAGGTACCCACAACAACCATCTTTACCTGTTGCCCTGCGTGGTACACATTAGTAGGAAGTTAGAGTTGGTAGTGTATTGGGAACTTGAACTCAGGCACTCCAGTTTGGGCCATGAGTGTCCCAGTTGGTGTCTTTCTCTAGTCCAAACACTTGACCCAGTTCTTTTTGTTTTTATAACAGTGGAGGGGAGACAGTGTCATTAAAACATGCAGATCTTAGTAATTAAACAGTTTTTTACCTGGGGTATATTACATGACTCTTTTCTATAGAGATGCCAAGTTAAAATGAATTTATATTTACTGTCTTTCCTGAGTGTACAAAATCTGATGATGTGAGAACATCACACAGAAGCAAGTTGGATGGCAAGGGAACTATATTTCAGCAACATGTATGATTTATACAGACAATAATCAGGCCCTCACTGTGGCCTGGCAGGTAAAACCACTGCCTGCAATGGTGACATCCCATATGGGCACTGGTTCAAGTCCTAGCTACTCCACCTCCCTGCTAATGGCCTTGGAAAAGCAACAGATGATGATCCAAGTGCTGGGGCCCCTGCCACCCATGTGGGAGACCCAGATTAAGGTCCTGGCTTCAACCTGGCTCAAGCCCTGGTCTTTGCAGCTACTTGAGGATTGAACCAGTTTATGGAAGACCTCTCTCTCTCTCTTTGTCTAACTGACTTTCAGATAAATAAATAAAGTATTTTTTTAAAAAAGGATAATAGACTGACTGGTTTGTGACAAGATGTAAGTTTTTGTCTTGCATTTTGTTATTATTTTTAGAGGATATTATCCTGAGTTGGAGCAGGTCAAAATAAATTTATTTTTTTAAGAACTCAGAAGCATGAAAAGTTTACATGATTATGTGAGTCTTTTTTTCATTGCTCAATAGAATTCTGTAGTTTCCATCAACTAAATAATGATTACTGTTATATTAAATATATGAAGTTTTATTAATATAGTTCACCCTGTTTCAAATTATTAAAAAAAAACTTGAATCAGTGTCAGAGATTATTTCCATTGCATGTCATCCCATGTAGCAGGGTTGCACCATTTTGTTTGTAGTTATTTCCTTTAACATTTCTAACCAACTATTCTCAAAGAAACCCAGATGTTCTTCCTTTTCTAGCTTACCTTTTGATGATTTGTATTTAGTGGCAAGGTACCTCCTGTTATCTGGATGCTTATTTAACTATCTGTTTTAATGGTAAAGGTGATACCTTTTTAAGTTGCAAGAAAGAAAACCTAACTGTCTAATAAAAGGCTTAAAATTGAACATCTCCTAATCATTTTCTCAGCGTTGGAGAATTAACTAAATTTTTAAAATAGAAATTCTAAATATATCTAAGATAATTTCTAGTGCTTTGTATTAGTATCAATGAAAAGGTAGAATCTCTATCCACTATAGATTAATAACTAATGTTTACAATAGTGATCATCTCACATAAAACTAATATTAAAATAATGACTCAAATTATTTTACCTTTCATGCTTGATGAGAAGTTTTGCTTCCTTTTATGAATGGCTTTTGGCTGTGATTTTTTTTGTGAGTCTTTAGGTCTTTTGTTGTTTTAATAAATTAGAATCAGTAAATATTCTATACAGATATCTTAGCTTTTACTTCTGGAGAAGATTGGTAGTAAATTGCTTGCCTAGTAATTTACAGTAAGGAATAGAGCCATATAAATAGCTGGGGGAATCATTTGTAGTAACAACTTTAATTATTTTGTGTAGAAGAAGTATTGTACATGAAGTAAAGCCAAATTAAGTTGGACAGTATCTTATTTGATATCAGTTGTAAAATGATTAGTTTTCTGTTTTGTTTATCAGATTTTACACTTGCCAGATTTTCAATGAAAAGTTTAAGATAAGTCGTCATTTATTTCAGTGTTTTATTATATGCAAATGGATATTTTTATTTACAACAGAAATTTATTTCAACTTTATAATGAGCAATAATTTTCTGGGACTATTTCAGTTATTTTTGAGAAACTTCAAAAAAGCATAGATTTGTACTTTAAAACAATTATTTGGTGATAGCATAAAGGATAACAGATTTTGTTGGGATATGAATTTGTGATATAAAATGAATCAAAATTTTCCTGAATTGTGGTTTTAAAATTCCTCTTCTTTACTTTCAGTAGTTATCTCATACTGACACCAGTTTATATAAAGCAAGGCAAAATAGTGCACTTACCAAAACATATTACCATAAACTGATTTCCGGTGCTTTCCTAAATATTTTATTTCTAATAACAGAAGTAGATTATGCTTACGAAAACTTAATCTGTTTTGGTTTTATTTAGACGCTGGTTTTCAATACAGAACAATCAGCTGGTTTACCAGAAAAAGTTTAAGGTAGGTTATTTTGTGAAGGAATAAGTAAAAACCTGGTGAGTCCCTATTTCAGTTGTCTGTCTTGGTAAACATTAAAACCCACAAATACTCATTTGTGTAGCATCACTGTAATTATTTTTGATTAGCATTATGTTTGGGTATAAATAATAGGACTCTGAGTGATCCTTAAAACTGGAGTGATTTTTTTAAAAATATGTTATTTATTTATTTGAGAGGTAGAGTTACAGATAGTGAGAGGGAGAGACAGAGAGAAAGGTCTTCCTTCCTTCCATTGGTTTACTCCCCAGATGGCTGCAATAGCTAGAGCTGTGCCAATCTTGAGATGGATTTTTCTGTGTTCCAAGATAATAGCTTTTATTTCTTTGTTCAATCATGTGATAGGAATAATGTTATCATTCTATAGTAGGACTATTTTGAGGATGCCTTTTAGGAAATATCATCTTAGAGCCAAAGGTGATAGTATAAAAAGGTTAGAATTGACATTAATTAATATGTAATCTCATAATAACTTGACTAGACATCTTTAAATTTGTTCTTATATTTTGTTTGTTTATACATACACCCATACCTACACGTATTTTATTGAAAGGCAGAATTAGAGAGAGAGGGAGAAACAGAGAGAAACTTCCATCCACTGGTTCTTTCCCCTCGTTGCCGCAATGGCCAGGGTTGGGCTGGCCGGAGCCAGGAGCCAGGAGCCAGGAGCCAGGAGCTTCTTCCATGTGGGTGCAGGGGCCTAAGCATCTTGGCCATCCTCTGCTATTTTTCCCAGGCACACTAGCAGGGAGTTAGATGGGAAGTAGAGCATCTGGGACTCGAACCAGCATTGCAGATGGCAGCTTAACACACTATGCCACAACGCTGACCCTATTTGTTTTCTTGAAATTTTTTTTAAGATTGTTTATTTGAAAGGTAGGCAGAATTAATAAAAGAAAGATCTTCCATTTCCTGGTTAACTCCCCAGATGGCTAAAACTGCTGGGGCTGGGCCAGACCCAAGCCAGGAGCCAGGAGTTAACTGGGTCACCCTGGTTGGTGTTAGAGACTTAAGCACTTGGGCCATTTTCCATTGCTTTCCCAGGTGCTTTCTTTGGTAGGGAGCAGGATTGAAGTAGAGCATCTGGGACATGGATGCTGGCATCACAGGCCACAGCTTAACCTGTTGTGCCACTGTGCTGACCCCTTCAACCTTATTTTAAGTCTGAAGGAATTTTATTTAAAAGATGTTACTGGGATTACATGTTACTTGAAAATATTAAACATAGAACCAGAAAAAAGTATTAGTTAATTTATGATTTGCTTTTCATCTAGTTGGCATTTATGAATGGTATTCTGTGAACTGTACATTTTAAATATCCACTTTACTCTTGAGATGACACATAATGAAATTTTTTTTCCTAGATTCTATGCAGGTTTGTTCCACCCAAGTCCTTTAATCTAGCTAACTGTTTCTTTTACTCTGATAAACGTGTTTTGAGTTTATATTTTTATTAAGTATTTAAAATTATAAAAACCTTGTATATTTCCCTATTTTATGAAATATTTATTTATAAGATTCTTAACTTTCTTTGTATTATTTAATACTTGATTCTTGACAGGCAGTTTTTTGGTAGTCAAATAGCTTTTGTTGTATGTGAGTGGGGACCAGGAAAGTAATGGGTATGAAAGAAAATGGGAAACACTGATCCTGAAGTTAACATTTATTGGCCATCTGCTAAGGACAAAATGTTGGATTAAGCTCTTTATATAAACTACTCTAACTTAATCTCTATGCAATAATTTTATAAGGCAGATAAAATTAATTAACAGGACAGAATTACATTTATTAGTTATTTCTTTGTTAATATTGCTATCTATTGAAAATAAAATCTAAATCTTTAAATTTAGACCATTTATTTCAATGATATTTATAAGCATGTTACTATTGATGGTAGTATTTAAAACCCAAGTTGAAGAGCTGGCATTGTGATGCAATGAGTTAAACCATTGCCTACGATCCTGGCATCCCAATATTGGAGTGCCTGTTCCAGACCCTGCTGCTCTGCTTCTGATCCAGCTCCCTACTAATGTGCCTGGAAAACCAATGGAAGATGTCCAGATACTTTGGTCCTGCCAGCCACGTGGTAGACCCAGATGGAGTTGCAGGCTTCTGGCTTCTGGCTGTCCCAGTCCTGGTTGTTGAGGCCATTTGGTAGAGAAGATCTCTTTCTTTTCCTGTTACTCTGCCTTTTAAGTAAATAAAATAAATCTTAAAAAATAACCAAAGTTAATGAATATGGAACATTTGTTTCCTTATTATAGGATAATCCCACTGTAGTAGTTGAAGATCTCAGGCTATGCACTGTGAAACATTGTGAAGATATAGAAAGGCGATTCTGCTTTGAGGTGGTCTCTCCAACTAAGTAAGTGGTTCTGAAGAATCTGGGAATTGATTTTGTTTCTATAAATTATCTTAAAGGATGTATAAAATAATTTGTTTCATTTGTGATTGTGTTAAAGATGATAAATGTATTTTTAAAAATAAATAACAATAATTAATAGTTAAAAGATGTCATAAATAAATATGTTACTATATGTATCATATTCTTTAAATTCCATAAAGGTAATAGGCTCATAAGAAAGCTTTTTAGCAATTATGATTACAAAATGAGATATTTATTGTGAATTACTTTCATAACTGTCATTTCATATTTGTACCAAATAGAGAAATGCATGTTATTTTTATATGGTAAATTTAAGAGTTTTAAAGTTAAAAAAATTATTAATGTGCAGGGATAAAGGATGCACCCTGGCTTCTTCATGAGTGTATTTTGTCATGAAGAATAAAATTTTCTTTCAGCAAAAATTATTTTTTTGCTATAAAGTTATTAAATACTAAAGTGAACAAAAGTATAAAACCTATTCACTCATTTATGATAATTTATTGTCTGAGAAAACTATATGTTATTTCTTTTTAGAAGTTGTATGCTCCAGGCAGATTCTGAAAAGCTACGCCAGGCATGGATTAAAGCTGTTCAGACCAGTATTGCTACTGCTTATAGAGAGAAGGGTGATGAATCAGAGGTTGGTAGATATATTATCAATATGAAATGATATGTTGCCAAAAGTTTTTAATTTTAGTTGCAATATTATAAGAATATTCTTTTTTATGGGAGAAAATTTTGTACTACAGAAATGAGTTTTATTTTTAAAATCTAGATTGAATTTATCTTTTATTTTACTTGTCATTTGTATTTCTTTCTTTTCTTTTTTTTTTGGACAGGCAGAATGGACAGTGAGAGAGAGAGACAGAGAGAAAGGTCTTCCTTTGCCGTTGGTTCACCCTCCAGTGGCCGCCGTGGCCGGCGCGCTGTGGCCTGCGCACTGCGCTGATCCGATGGCAGGAGCCAGGTACTTATCCTGGTCTCCCATGGGGTGCAGGGCCCACGGACTTGGGCCATCCTCCACTGCACTCCCTAGCCACAGCAGAGAGCTGGCCTGGAAGAGGGACAACCGGGACAGAATCTGGTGCCCCGACCAGGACTAGAACCCGGTGTGCAGGCGCCACAAGGCAGAGGATTAGCCTAGTGAGCCGCGGCACCGGCCTGTCATTTGTATTTCAATATATGAATATGTTTATTTTAATATATGAATGTGTATCCCAGATTGGAATATAGTATTCTGATGTTAGTATTTTTCTAAGAGTATTTTACTATTTCAGTTAAGAATAAAATAAATAATTATCCAGAAAGCTATTTCAAATTAAAACTGAATGAAAAGCTTTTGAAAAGGAAAGCACATTATTGTCTCTTCATAGAAGTCTTCCTGGAAGAGGTGAGGTGAATATATAATCACGATTAATAGTCTGGTTTCAGCTTTCCAGAGGTTACAAAACTTTTTGGGCAAGGCCATGAGGGAATTTGATAAATGGGATTCAGCACTGATGGGTCATTTGGGACTATGGCACAGGTGTGATGATAGACAAATGTTAGAAGTATGGTGAAGGGAATGGATTACTCTTTATAAATTGTATTTCAGACTCACTGTGGCCAACTGATAGCTCCTAGGAGTAGATAAAAGCAGAACTCTACCTGAGCAGGAAATTGGGGATGACCTTGATCCAAGAATCAAGGCATAGAGTAGAAAGTGGGAATTCTATCAGTGGCCAAGTTTACCTAGGCATTGCTGGGTTCAAATGATGGAAATATTGGCAGGGGACAGTGTTGGTGAGGATAGCCCATAGAATGGAGTTTCCTCAGGAAACTAAAAATAGATCTACCATATGACCGAGCTGTCCCACTCCTAGGAATATATCCAGTGGAAGTGAAATCAACACATGATACCTGCACTCTCATGTTTTTAGTAGCTCAACTCACAGTAACTAAGATATGGAATCAACATAAATGACCATCAACTGATGACTAGATAAAGAAACCATAAATAAGAATAAAATCTTGACATTTGAAACAAAATGAATTCAACTAGAGATAATTATGCTTAGTGATTCTGAGTTACAAAGAGAAAGGAAAGGTAAAGAGAGAGAGAATCTTCCATCCACTGGCTCACTCCCCAATTGGCCTCAATGGCTGGAGCTGCACTGATTGGAAGCCAAGAGCCAGGAGCTTCTTTTGGATCTCCCACGCTGGTTCAGGGGCCCAAGGACTTGGGCCATCTTCTACTGCTTTCCCAGGTCATAACAGAGAGCCGGATCGGAAGTGGAGCAGCTGGGACTTCAACCGGTGCCCATATGGGATGCTGGCACTGCAGGCGGTGGCTTTTTCCACTATGCCACAGTGATGGCCCCAATGTTTTTTAAGATTTATTTATTTCAAAGTCAGGGGGAGGAAAAGACACAGAAAGAGAGAGAGAGATCTTCCATATGCTGGTTCACTCCCCAGATGGCCTCAATGGCTATGGCTGGGCCAGGCTGAAGCCAGGAGCCAGGAACTTCTTTTGGGTGTCCTAAAGACTTGGGCCATCCTCTGTTGCTTTACCAGGAGAAATTAGCAGGTTGCTAGATTTGAAGTGGAGCAGCTGGGACTTCAACTGGTGCCCTTATGGGATTCCAGTGCTGTAGATGGTGGCTTAACCCACTACACCACAGCACCAGCCCCCAAAAATCTGAATCTTAAAAAGAAAGCACTTATGAAAATTAATTAATAGTAAATTATATCTTTAAATTTTTCTGACCTTTGGTTTATAGATTTCTCATTTATTATTTAATTCTACTTATGATATCACAGAGTTTAGTGTCATAATTTTTTGCATCATAGGTATGCTGTTAACCAGTTTTGTTAAAGAATATGTGAAAAAGCCAAATATACTGGAAAAAAATATGTGATTAAATCTTTAATTTTCTAATAATTACTTATAATTTTGGGGGAATTCCTTCATCAGAAACTCCAGGCAGACTGTGAAGGGGAAGTAATTGAAGATCTGTCAGGAACAATGGAAAATTTTCAGTACTATCTAAATAATTAACTAGAATCTTAAACTACAACAAACAAAACAAAACAAAACATCCTCGTCAGTCTGGACCTTTTGTTCCTTAAGCCTACTAGCATAGCTTTTGGTCTGGGATTCCCTTACATAATCATTGTTGGATGTTGTTTTCTTTCCTGTATCTCATATCTTTCTCCTTGGTTTAAGAAAAATTGAAGTACTCCCTCCAGTAGCTTCCTGAAAAAACCTTAAGTACTTGCCTAGTAGCTTCTTGAAAAATATTTGTGACTCTGCATGTCTGAAAATGTGTTTATTCTGTCCTCACATTTGTTTGATAGTTTGGCTAGGTTGAATTTTTAGGTTAGAAATAATTATTCCTAAAATTAACAGCATTTCTTTCTTGTTTGTTTCCAGTGTTGCTGTTGGAGTTTTTCGTGTTACTCATCTTTTGTATTTCTTCTCTCCAATTTTCTCTGTTTTCTCTTTCTGGAATTTCTGGAATGGTATTGTGATTTTCTTATTTGTGTGAGTGTGTGTGTAATTTGGCTTTACTTTCTGGGAAATCTCGTCAGCTAATCTTCCAAATCTTTTATTGAATATTTCTATTCTGCTAACACAGATTGAATTTCCAAACATGCCTTTATGTTCACTGAATGTTTATACATTCATCTTTATTCATGGATGCGGTAGTTGCATCTGTGGCTCTTAACCTTGCACACTCTGATAATATAGGGAACTTTTAAAAATATCAGTGCTTAGATCCCCACCGCAGAAAAATTGTAAATGGAGTTTCGGGATACAGGCATCAGATTCTAAGAAAGCTTTCTAGCTGATTTCCATGAACAGCCGTGGTTGAGAACCATTGTGTTAGAGGTTTTCTGTGGCTGTGTAGTAATGTATTCATGATTGTGATTAGAGACTCAAAATCTCTTTGAAAGCTTTGTGTGCATAGTTAGGACTTTGTTGACTGAGTTTTGCCTAATTCTGGAATATTTGTTGAGGAACAAACAAGGTCAAAAACTTTGGAGGCTTTTTGGCTGGTGTGATTTCCCAGAGAAGACTCACTGGTCTTTTGCATGGGGGTAAGGGAATGGTTTAGAGCTAAGTGCTAAGTATCTCCTTATCCAGGATGTGTCCTAGTCCCTTTTCTGCTGCTATAACAGAATACCACAGACTGGGAAAATTATAAATCATGGAAGTTTATTTGACCCATTGTTTAGGAGGGTAGAAAGTCCTGGTGAGGTGTTCTTGTTGCTTCATAACATGGTAGAAGGGCAAGTGAGAACCTGCAAGAAAGAGAGTGAGAGGGAATGGAACTTAACAGCAAACCTCTTAAAATAACTAAGTCACCCCTCAGCAACACGAACCCATTCCTAAGGGCTGAGCCCTCATGACCTGTTCACCTCTTAAAGATCCCACCATAGTGTTACAGAGGCAATTTTATTTCAGCATGAGTTTTGGAGGGGACATTTAAATTGTAGCAGTTATGTATACACTCACTTAATCACCTGTTTTCTACCTTTCAGGCAAAACCCATGCAGACTCACTGTTTTACTTCTCTAGAGAATAAACTTCCACTCCTTTGTGTTTTTGTGTAGACAGCAGTCTAATGGCATGGGGGCCCTGGCTGGGATCTGGCTGCTGCTTAAACTAACATTCCTTCTGTTTTCATGAATAAGTGTTGTGTTCAGTGCTGTATTTCTTGAGATGGCTGGAAACGTTCAGCTTCTCGAATCTAGTGCAAAAACATTAGTATATGGTCAGAAGGTGAGAATTAACTTGATTTCTGTATTATTACACTGAAATTCTTTCTCTGAATGATAATTGCTTTTATCATAGTTTACATTATGAAACATGTTCTAATAAAACAAATTATATTTCTATTTTTGTAACATTTAAAAAAACTAAAACTTACAGAGAAGTTCCAAGTACAGTACAAATAATATTTCCCCTGAACCACTTGAGAGTAAGGTACCAGCATGATGCCCCATGCATCATTGTTTTAATGAGTGTGTCTGTCCCATCATCTAACACATTCTTGGGTATTATCATGGTCCAGTTGTCAAAGTCAAGAAATAAACATTAATATATCACTATGATCTAATTTCAAAATGTCATTAAAGTTTTAACAGATTTTTCTAGTAATGGTTTTTACAGCAAAAATAGCCAGTCTGGAAGCATAAGTAGCATTTGGTTGTCATGTTTCTTAAATGTCCTTCAGTCAGGAATAGTTCTTCAGTCTTACCTTGACCTTATGCCCTTGGTAGTTAGGAAAATGACAGACTAGAGCACCCCTCAACTTGCCTGATGTTTACTCATGAGGTTATTCATCTTTGGCAGGAATGTTATATCAATGATATTGTTGTGTCCTTCTAATTGCATTCTCTTACATGGCACACGTTTTGATTTATACCACTGATGATGATGTCAATTTTTATTACTTGGTTAAGGTGATATCTTCCTAGGCTTGTCTACCAAAGGTTATTTTAATTTTTGTTGGTAGCATGTATCTTGTAGGAGAGGTATTTTGAGACTATGTAAATATTATGTTCCTCATCCAATTTTAAAATTTAATTTATGACAAAATTTAGTTCTATTAGCATAAACTCCTACTTTATTCAAAGTGTTATAACCCATTATTATCGTTATTTAGCCACTAGAGCCCCTGTCTTGTGTATTCTTTTGATTTGTCCCTATTAATCTAAATATTTCCTTACTTCCTACATGACAAGATGTTTCAGGTTCATCTTGTGCTTTTTCTGCACTAGCCAATGAAATCATCCATTTCTCCATGAAGTGTCTTAGTTTCTTTTGGTGGAAAATGGTATTTAGAAACCAAGATAAGGTTTATAATGTATATATATACACACACGTATACACATTTACATTTACATTTATATTTATCTACTAAAATGAAAACCATTTCTGTGCCTATTGGTATCTCCAGTTCCAATCTGATAAACAGAATTCATTCTAGTTTCTCCTTTCCCATATAAATAACTTTATTCTCTATAGTGATAAATCTGGCTTCCATTTATCTTTAATATACTTACATGTATCTTAACTCTGTAGATTTTGACCCATAGTCTTGACTGCCCAGCCCTACACATAGACTGATACCTCACACTAGGTTGTACTCTTTGAGTGCTCCCCAACTCCCCGCTTAGGCCTCCATTTCCTTGCTCTTCTGTCTCCCTGTGTAGACATCCTCCGTACCCTGCTTGGGATCCAGCAGCATTCTCAGGATTTCACTCGTCTATAGATAAGTTTCTCACCTGGCTTCATTGTCTCTGGAATACCTTGTCTCCATACTTAAGCTTGCTAGACCCTACCTAGTGGCTGTTGAATTCGCTTTGATCACTTTGTTAGGAAAGGCAAGACGAGCCAAAAATATGTTTTCTTTTTGTATATATGAAGATTTATTTATTTATTTATTTGAAGGGCAGAAACAGACAGAGACAGAGAGACAAAGAGAGACAGAGAGAGAGAGACAGAGACCTTCTACCTGCTCATTCACTCTCCAGATGGCTCCGATAGTCAAGACTGGGCCTGCCTGAAGTCAAAAGCCAAGAACTCCAACTGGGTCTCCAATGTAAGGGTAGCAGGAACTCATGTACTTAAGCCATCATCTGTTGCTTCCCAGGTGCAGTAGAAGCGGAGTAGTCGATACTTGAACCAGCACTCTGATATGGGATGTGGGGGTCTTAAGCAGTGACTTCACTTTTTGTGCCATATACCCGTCTCCCAAATTATTTTTCTAATGATTTTGTACTAAACTGCTGTCTTATTAAGGTTAGAATGTTTTTATACCAGAAGACTTTTTTATAGGCTTATCTTTTATTGCTTGGGATTTGTGAACCACATCTTTGTATTTGATCATTATTTCTATGTATACAGCAATGCTTATAAAATACTATTTCTTATTGGTATAGACTTCACTATACACTTAAAAATTAACTTTTTGCTTATTAGACATCTTTTGCTATTTTCCTGGTTTACCTAATAGCCCTTGAAACTTTAGACTTTGTATTTTTTGATTCACTCTATAATTGTAATTAGGCAGTAGATATGTTCTTTAGTATTTAACTATATAGGACTGTACCTTTTCTAGTTATTCACTACATTAATTAAAATAGCTTACTTATAATTCATTGGTAAAACAGTGTATAAAATAATAATATTTATTTTATTATTGAGTCTTGATAGTCTTTTATCTATTCCCTTTGGCTCCCATTCTGCATGATAGACTAGAATTTCCTTTCTTCTCTATCTTTCTATTTTGTTTATATATTCATTGTGTATGTTTAATTTTTAATATATACATGTTTATATGTTTCTCCCTACAACACTAAACATCCATTGATTTAGGAACCTGCATCTTTTCATCCTGGAATCTCCAGTGCCTGTAATAGTGCCCTGTTTTATCCCAGGATAGGCCTTTAATTTATTGATTGGAAGCCTTTGTTTGGAGCATGTAATGTCCAACTTGATATTACAATCTTTTTTTTTAAAGAGCAATAATTCTTAATTCTTTTAGAAGCTGGATAAGAAATCATCTCCATCCACAGGAAGCCTAGATTCTGGAAATGAGTCAAAAGAGAAATTATTAAAAGGAGAAAGTGCACTGCAGCGGGTCCAGTGTATCCCTGGGAATGCTAGCTGTTGTGACTGTGGTCTGGCAGATCCACGGTGGGCCAGCATCAACTTAGGCATCACCTTGTGCATTGAGTGCTCTGGGATTCACAGGTGAGTATACCTGCTCAGAGTGAGAGACTGCTTTTGGATAAACATACGTTATTAATTATTATGTTCCATTTGTTAGAGGGTCTTTTTCACTTCTCTAATTTAACTATCATTTTGTATCTTTTGTAAAGTGGATAAAGTTCTGGTTTGTAAAGTGCTTCTGAGAACTTTTGTATACTAGTTTTTTTTTTAAGATTTATTTATTTATTTGAAAGGCAGAGGGAAAGAGAGAGAGACAGACAGACAGACAGACAGACAGAGATATCTTCCATCGATTGGTTGAGTTCCTAAATAGCCACAATAGCCGTGGCTGGGCCAGTCCAAAGCCAGGAGCCAGGATCTTCTTCCAGGTCTCTCATGTGGGTGCAGGGGTCCAAGGACTTGGGCCATCTTCTGCTGCTTTCTCAGGTGTATTAGCAGGGAGTTGGATCAGAAGTGGAACTGTGGGGACTTGAATCGGTGCCCATATGAGATGGTGGCTTAACTTGTGTCACAGCTTTGGCCCTATGCACTATTCATTATAATTAATCAGATGATCATCCCTGTTTAAATGTGTGTTGCAGGCTGTATGAGAACCCATTCCACTTTAAAATAGAAAAATAATTTGTATAAATATGCAAACTGTGCCTTGATAGTTTTATGTATTAATGCAGTTTTCTTCTTTCCACTTAGGAGTCTTGGGGTTCATTTTTCAAAAGTGCGATCTTTAACTTTAGACACCTGGGAGCCTGAACTTTTAAAGGTAAAATAAATGTTACATAAAAATATTTTGTATTTTCACATAAAAGTGAACAGTTTAAAAATTTATGAGTTTCTTATGCTGACAATGAACTTCTTGTACTGGAAAACTTCTGAGACTGGAAAATTGGTGTTTTTAATAATAGATTTTTAAAATCGCTATGTTTATGTAGCATTGTTAGCTGCAAGTCAGTTTGTTCTTTAAGAAAATCAATGTCCCTAAATTTTTGTGATTTTTTTTTTCAAAAAATCAGATTCTGTGCCATCTTTTGTAATTAGATTCATATTAAAAATATAAAAGATAGGAGAGAACTTCTCCAGAAGATGAATTAATGTTGGTTCAAAATTATTTTGAAATCCATGTATAGTTTTTCTATGATATATATTTTCTTTTGATTCCATTTCTCCCTAAATTTTGTGAAGTACTTTCTTGTTGCTTTAGTAAGTGACATAATGGATTAGTATAGCATATTGGCACCATTGGGTTATTTTAGCATAGGACCATTTGCAAATTGACATTTGTCAGGATAGATGTCACCAAACCAGGCCTTTCTTTTCTCCTCTGTGTCTGAGGATTCATATCCGTGGAAATATTTTTAATACTTTTAGATTATTAGTGGATTTCTGATAAGATTTACAGAATACCTTACAGTGAATTTATTTCCTGTCATCTAGTTTACCATATTGTAGAAAGTAGAATAGGATTAGAGTATATTCTACATTTATTTCTATCAGAAAATGGTGTTTTTAATCTGCTTGTGTCTTTATTTCAATCTATAGATAAACTGGTACCTTTGTCACTTAATGTAAAGTAAATTTACTTTGTGGAATTATTGTGTCATTGAAATTTCTAAATGAAAGTATGAAAGTGATGAATTGACTTCTCAGCTAAAACCCTATTTAGATAGATTCCATGAATTGTTGTGAACTCAAAGGGGAAGAACATAGGGGATGAGGGACAAAAATCTAATTCCTGCATTAGCTTTGTGTGTAGATAAGAATTTGGTGGATTCAGATGAGAAATTTAGTTGAAGTACATTTTTGAAAAAGATTTATTTATTTTATTTGAAAGAGCTATACAGAGAGAGGAGAGGCAGAGAGAGAGAGAGACAGAGAAAGAGAGAGAGAGAGATGTACCCCATATGATGGTCCACTCCCCACCCAGCTGTGCCTATCCGAAGCCAGGAGCCAGGAGCTTCCTCTAGGTCTCCCATGCGGGTGCAGGGGCCCAAGGACCCAGGCCATCTTCCACTGCTCCCCCAGGCCACAGCAGAGAGCTGGATCGGAGGTAGAGCAGCCGGGTCCTGAACTAGAGCCCATATAGGATGTCGGCGCGTCAGGTCAGGGTGTTAACCCGCTGTGCCACAGTGCTGGCCCTGAAACACATCTTGGTATCTTAAAAAAATGACTGAAACTTTTAAACCAAATATTTGGAAATACTTTTAAATAAATTATAAAGAGAAAATGGTTTACATCATTTTGACTTGTTGAAGAGAACTTGTCTGACTATAGGCTTCTTTGTGTTCAATTAATTCACCAGATGAGAATCATAAATAGCACTGTGCTATCCACATTGGAGGGATAGAAAACTATTAGAAGATGGTTTCAGATAGTCAAGAAGCTTTCAGTCATGTTGAGGGAGTGAATGCAAATGTAAAAAAAGAATTAGATAACAGCTGTAAGCATCTAATGATCTTTTTTTTTACAGATTTATTTTATTTATTAGAAAGACAGAGAGAGAGAGATGGAGACAGAGAGAGAGGTCTTCCATCTGCTGGTTCACTCCCCAGATGGCCGCAACAAGCTGAGCTGCGCCAATCCGAAGCCAGGAGCCAGGAGCATCTTCTGGGTCTCCCACGCGGGTGCAGGGTCCCAAGCACGTGGGCCATCTTCTACTGCTTTCCCAGGCCACAGCAGAGAGCTGGATTGGAAGAGGAGCAGCCGAGACTGGAACTGGTGCTCATGGGATGCTGGTGTTTCAGGCCAGGGCTTTAACCCACTGCGCCACAGCGCTGGCCCCAGCACCTAATAATCTTAGTTCAAACTCTTGATTCCAGCTTTGTGCTAATGTACACTCTGAGAAGGCAGCAGGTGATGGCTCAAGTACTTGGTCCCCTGCCACCTCTGTGGGAGACGTGGATGGAATTCCTGGCTCTTGACTTTCTCCTGGCCCAGTCTCAGCTATTGTAGGCATTTGGGGAGTGAGCCAGCAGACCAGAGTTTCTTTCTGTCTCTTAAATAAATAAATAAGCAAACAAACAAATGAGAGAATGATTAGTGTAGAGGGTTCTAAGAAATGAAGTTGTTTGAGTCAGGACTTTCTAGAGGAGAGTGAAATTAATCCGTCAAGTGGATGAGACAGTTGTAGAGCTTCAAAAAAATAAAATTTACATTGTAAAAAAGAAACCTGAAAATAGGGCAGTAAATAGAATCTTAAGAAAATTCCTTGGGAATATATGAAAGATGGGCTAGAGTGCCAAATACCGAGATTAGGTTTCCATTGGTAATTCTTTATTCTAGAATTTAAGGGGAGGAAAGAAGGAAATCTCTCTGTTTGGGCAACTATGTTTAGGAACAAAAAATAATTGGATACAGTTAAGGCAAGTTTTATAAGCCTTTAATTATTTTTTAATTAAAATAACATGTATTAAAGACAAGCTAAAGGTAACAAGCACACAAAAGGAAAATTACCTCAAGACAATAACAACCATCTTCTCTCTGTTATTATTTTGTCAAATATTCTTCCCAACTTTACTGTTTATAATATCTTTTTTAAGTTTTTTTTTTTTTTTTTTTTGACAGAGTGGACAGTGAGAGAGAGAGAGAGAGAGAGAAAGAAAGGTCTTCCTTTACCGTTGGTTCACTCTCCAATGACCGCTGAGGCCGGCACACCGCACTGATCTGAAGCCAGGAGCCAGATGCTTCTCCTGGTCTCCCATGCGGGTGCAGGGCCCAAGCACTTGGGCCATCCTCCACTGCACTCCCTGGCCACAGCAGAGAGCTGGACAGGAAGAGGGGCAACCGGGACAGAATCCGGTGCCCCGACCGGGATTAGAACCCGGTGTGTCAGAGCCGCAGGCGGAGGATTAGCCTATTGAGCTGCGGCGCCGGCCTGTTTATAAGAAAATTATAGTAATATACAAAATAAAAATTTTGGAAAATAGGGAATTCTCATTATGTTTTACTTTATAGAATTGACTTTTGAGTGAAATGCCCTCATTTTATAAAATTCTTAATTTTATTTAAGGTATACAAATTACATGGATTTCATATACAGATTTAGGAATGTAGTGATATGTGGATATCCAGTTCTCCCAGCATCATTTGTTGAAGAGAATGTCCTTTCTCCAGGGATTAATTTGAGCTCCTTAGACAAAGATTTAGTTGGTTTTAAATATGTACAGTGATTTCTGGAGTTTCTGTTCTCTTCCCTTGGACTACATGTCTATTTTTATGCCAGTACCAGGCTGTTTTGATTGTAACTGCCCTGAAGTATGTTTTGAAATCTGGTATTGTGATGCCTCTGGCTTTATTTTTGTTGTATAAGATTGCTTTAGCTATTCCAGGGTCTCTTGTGTTTTCATATGAGTTTTAACATCATTTTTCTAGATCTGAGAAGAATGTTATTAATATTTTGATTGGGATTGCATTGTATCTGTAAATTGCTTTCTGTAGTATGGATATTTTAATGATATTGATCATTCCAATCCATGAACATGGAAGATTTTTTCCATTTTTTCACATATTATTCTATTTTTTTCTTTAATGTTTTGTAATTTTCATCGTGGAGATCTTTCACCTCTTATGTTAAATGTATTCCAAGGTATTTAATTTTCTGTAGCTATTGTGAATGTGGTTGATCTTAGCAGTTCTTTCTCAGCCATGGCATTGTCTGTGTATACAAAGGCTATTGACTTTTGTATGTTAACTTTATATCCTGCCACTTTACCAAACTCTTCTATGAGTCCCAATAATCTCTTTGTGGAGTCTTTTGGATGCCCTATATATACAATCATGTCATCTGCAAATAGAGATAATTTGACTTCCTCCTTTCCAATTTATATCTGTTTGATTTCCTTTTCTTGCCTAAACGGCTCTGGCTAGAACTTCTAGGACTGTATTGAATAGCAGTGGTGAAAGTGGGCATCCTTGTCTGGTTCTGGTTCTGGTTCTTAATGGAAATGCTTCCAACTTTTCCCCGTTCAGTAAGATGCTGGCTGTGAATTTGTCATAAATTGCCTTGATTGTGTGCTTAAGAATTTCATCATGAAACAATGTTGTATTTTATCAAATGCTTTCTCTGCATCTATTGAGATGATAATATGGTATTTATTCTTCAGTTTGTTAATGTGATGTATAACATTTATTGATTTGTGAATGTTGAACCATCCCAGCATACCAGGAATAAATTATCCCACTTGGTCTGGTGAATGATCTTTATGATGTCTTGTTGGATTTGGTTAGCTAGTATTTTATTGAGGATTTCTGCATCTGTGTTCATTTGGGATATTGGTCTACAGTTCTATTTTTCTGGTTTAGGAATTAAGGTGATGCTGGCCTCATGGAAAGAGTTTGGGGAAGATTCTCTTCCTTTCAGCTGTTTTGAATAGCTTGAAAAGAATTGGAATTAGTTCTTTAAAAGTGTTAGAATTCAGTAGTGAAACCATCCAGGCCTGGGCTTTTCTTTGTTGGGATGGTCTTCATTACTAATTCAGTCTCCGTCTTTGTTATTGATCTGTTTAGGTTTTCTCTGTCTTAATGACTCAATTGTGGTAGATTGTATGTGTCCAAGAATTGATCCATTTTTCTTCTAAATTTCCCAATTTGTTGGCATATATCTCTTTATAGTAATTCCTGATGTTTCTTTTTATTTCTGTGCTATCTGTTGTTACATTTTCTTTTTCATCTCTGATTTTATTGATTTGCATATTCTTTTTTTGGTTAATTGTAACAATGATGTATCAATTTTGTTTATTCTTTCAAAAAATAGCTCTTTTTTGCTTTTAATTTTGTTTCTTCTCTAATTTTAATGATTTCTTTCCTTCTACTAATTTTGGGTTTGGTTTGTTGTTTTTCTAGGTCCTTGAGATGCATTGATAGCTCATTTATTTGATGCCTTTCCAGTTTCTTTATGTTGGCATCAATTTCTATAAACTTCTCTCTTAACAGTGCTTTTGCTGTATCCATAAGTTTTGATATGTCGTATTGTCATCTTCATTCATTTCCAGAAATTTTTTTATTTCCCTTTTTTTAAACATTTTGTTTGTTTTTTTTTTTTTGAGAGGTAGAGTTACAGACAGTGAGAGAGAGAGAGAGAGAGAGAGAGAGAGAGAGAGAAAGTCTTCCTTCCGTTGGTTCACCCCACAGATGGCCACAACAGCCGGAGCTGCGCTGATCCGAAGCCAGGAACTAGGAGCTTCTTCTTGCTATCCATGTGGGTGTGGGGGCCCAAGCACTTGGGCCATCTTCTGCTTTCCCAGGCCATAGCAGAGAGCTGGATTGGAAGAGGGGCAGCCAGGACTTGAACCAGTGCCCATATGGGATGCTGGCACCATGGGCAGAGGATTAACCTACTGTGCCATGGCGCTGGCCCCTCCCTTTTGGTTTCTACTATGACTCACTGTTCATTGAGGAGCATGTTGTTCTGTCTTCAAGTGTTTGTATATGTTCTAGAGATTCTTTTATCTCTCTCTTTTTTTTAAGACTGATTTATTTGAAGGCAGACAGAGGGAGAAAAACAGAGAGAGATCCTTCATCTGCTGGTTTACTCTCCAAGTCGCTGCGGTGGCCAGAGCTGAGCCAATCCGAAGCCAGGAGCTAGAAGCTTCTTCCAGGCCTCCCTCATGGGTGCAGGGGCCCAAGCCCTGGTGCCATCCTCCACTGCTTTCCCAGGCCATAAGCAGGAAGCTGGATAGGAAAAGGAACAGCCAGGACTCACTCACTGGTGCTCATATGGGTTGCTGGCGCCACAGGCAGAGGCTTAGCCTACTGTGCCACAGAGCTGGCTCCTCTAGAGATTCTTGAGTTGTTAATTACCAGCTTTATTCCGTTGTGGTCAGAAAAAAATGCATTGTATGATTTTAGAATTTTAAACACTGTTATATGTGAATTTATTTGGTTTGTAGTATAAAATGTGTGCCTAACTCTTGATACTTTTTCTATTTTATCATTGATTTTAAGAGTGATAGAGAGGGAGAGACACAGAGATCTTCTATCTACTAGTTCACTCCCCAGATGGCCACAGTGGTCCAGTTGGGCCAGACCAAAACCAGGAGCCAGGAATTCATCCAGTCTTCCATGTGGGTGGCTGGGGTCCACATTCTTGGGCCATCTTCTTCTTTTTTTTTTTTTTTTTAAAGATTTATTTTATTTATTTGAAATACAGAGTTACACAGAGAGGGGGAGACAGAGAGAGAGAGGAATTTCATCTGCTGGTTCACTCCCCAGATGGCCACAATGGGGGGAGCTGTGCCAATTCAAAGCTAGGAGCCAGGAGCATCTTCTGGGTCTCCCATGCTGGTGCAGGGGCCCAAGGACTTGGGCCGTCTTCTACTGCTTTCCCAGGCCATAGCAGAGAGCTGGATTGGAAGTGGAGCAGCCCAGACTAGAACTGTAACCCGTATGGGATGCCAGTGCTTTAGGCTGGGGCTTTAACCTGCTGTGCCATAGTGCCAGCCCCTTCTTCTTTATTTAAATAGATTTATTTTATTTATTTGAAAGAAAGAGAGGGAGAGACAGAGAAATTACATCCATCTGGCCATGCCAAAGTAGAAGCCTGCAACTCCATCACCCATGTGAGTGTCAGGGGCCCAAGTACTTGAGCCATCTTCTGCTGTTTTCCCAGGCTCATTAGCAAGAAGCTGGATTGGAAGTGGAGCAGCTGGGATTCAAATTGGCACTCATATGGGATGTGGCATTGCATGTGCCACAATGCTGGCGTCCCACTTTTTCTCCCATCCGTGTATTTACCAGGCCCAACCCTGCTTAGTGGGACATCCCACTTTTTCTATTATCTTAACTAACTTTCCTATCTTTTCCCATGACTATATTATTTAATTCTTGCTCTACATTAAATTTTTCCAGGTAGGGTTAATTTTTGTTACTTATTCTCATCCACTGATGTATGTGTTATCTCACAGTACCACTGCAGATTTTTTTTTAATATTTATTTATTTATTTGAAAGAGCTACATAGAGAAGGAGAAGCAGAGAGAGAGAGAGAGAGAGAGAGAGAGAGAGAGAGAGGTCTTCCATCTGATGGTTCACTCCTCAACTGGCTACAATAGCTGGAGCTGTGCTGATCCTAAGCCAGGAGTCTGGAGCTTCCTCCAGATCTTCATATGCGGGTGCAGGGGCCCAAGAACTTGGTCCACTTCTACTGCTTTCCCAGGCCATAGCAGAGAGCTGGATAGGAAGTAGAGCAGCTGGGACTCAAACCAGCGCCCATATGGGATGTCGGCACTGCAGTTGGCAACTTTACTTGCCACGGCACAGCTCTGGCCCCACCACTGCAAATTTTTAAAAGGCTATTGTATAAAAATCAGTATCTTTAAAAAATATGGTATCTCAAACTGGCAATAATAATTTTGCAAGAAAGGAGATGGCACATACAAAATTCATAAGAGGGTAGCTGGGCTGTGGGGTCAACGAGAGAAACAGAGAGAAATACAAGAGTGATGTAATGGAAGTAATAGATCCTACCAGGGCTTGTGAGTAAGGAAAAGGAAGAAAGGAATCATTCTCTCCTTCCTGCTGGGTATATACTGTCAGAGTGCCCTGCTCAGACTTTGCTTCTCATCTCAGGCTGACCCATTCTCTCCCACCATCTCACATGTCCCATCGTTAACCTCTATATTCTGCAACTTCCACATATGGCATTTTACCCAGCCATGATTTTTCAGGGAAATGGTTCGGGTGATTTATGTCTTGGCATAGTTTGATCTAGTGGTTAATCCTGGAATTGGGCACAACTGGAAGTGGTAAGATTAGATAAGAGGCTACAGATGTAATGTAATCTTTTCGTAAGGTAAGGAAAGCTCAAACAATTAAAGAGATGAATGAACCAGGCAGAAAGGAGAATCTAAAAGATTTTGGAACATATAACTAATTTGAAGATAGAATTTAAGGAGATGGAAAAGTCCAGAAATAGTTCCAATAAAGTTGTTAAGCCTGATGGATTTGAATAGTTTTAGGAAGTGGAAGTAAGGGAAAAAAAATGATATTTAGTTTTTAACATCATAAAACTGGCTACTACCTGTTATACCTTAACTTTATGAATAATGCTTTATTGTCATAGTTCTTGCCCTGCAGTGAATATACAGATACAATAGTTGTGATATATATATATATATATATATATATATAGATTTACACACACACACAATACATATATGTTTGTCTATATCTAGGCAGCTAGAATCAGCAAGGGGTGGTAATGTTCTAGGAGAGCAATTCTGGTGAAAAATGGCAATAATATTATTTTCAGTCTTTGTCTCCTTTTGTTTTAAAGTTAACCTTCTTTTTGGAATGAACAATTGTAGAATATTCAGGGGAATTAGATGTACTGCCTTTAAGTATTTTTAGATTTTAGCTTATTTAAGTACTTTTAATTTATGGCTTATTTTTCTATTTCCTGCCAAACAGCTTATGTGTGAGTTGGGGAATGATGTTATAAACAGAGTTTATGAAGCTAACGTGGAAAAAATGGGAATAAAGAAGCCACAACCAGGACAAAGGTATTGTTTCTGTTTCCTTAATGTGACACTTTTTCTGTTTTGTTTTTTCTAATAAAAAATACAGCTATGATTTTATTTCACCATAATTGATAAATAGCATTTAGACAGAGTTTGTAGAAAACAGTCATTAGTGCTTCTATTCAAATGTGACTATCACTTCTTGGGTATGTTAAATAGATAATTAAATTTTATTAAGCTGATGAGTCAGTTATAGTCTCTGGATGAGAGAATCTTAAAATTTAAGGCTCTAGAATGTAAAAGCTCTCAGCAGTGAAAGTAGTCCTAAGTCCTATTACTAATAGATGTTCAGAAATACTCTTTTCATTAATGCCTTCAATGATCAAATTTCTTCTATCTACAGTGAATCATTTTACATTGTTTGACTTAGTTCATCAGATATTTGAAAGTATCTCTGGTAGGGGATAGTGCTTAATTGCTGTTTGAAATTATACTTTCAGTTCTATATAAGGAAGCTCATTGAACAAAGTGACTAAGGATCATTGCCTTCAAGTCATAATTTTTGTTACTAATGCTGTTTTTAATCATTTTGATTACTTTTTTTTTTTTTTTTTTTTTTGACAGGCAGAGTGGACAGTGAGAGAGAGAGACAGAGAGACAGAGAGAAAGGTCTTCCTTTGCCGTTGGTTCACCCTCCAATGGCCGCCGCGGCCGGCGCACCGCGCTGATCCGATGGCAGGAGCCAGGAGCCAGGTGCTTTTCCTGGTCTCCCATGGGCTGCAGGGCCTAAGCACCTGGGCCATCCTCCACTGCACTCCCTGGCCACAGCAGAGAGCTGGCCTGGAAGAGGGGCAACCGGGACAGAATCCGGCACCCCAACCGGGACTAGAACCCGGTGTGCTGGCGCTGCAAGGCAGAGGATTAGCCTAGTGAGCTGCGGCGCCGGCCCCATTTTGATTACTTTTGGCATTAGAATTTAGTTGTCACAATCCTATGTTAAGATTTTAAGGTTAACTGCTCTTTAAACCAGTATCATCTAAACTAGGATATTAATTATTTGCTAAAGGATGACTCTTGAGTTATTTCAGACCTTGGAATATCCTGTATCAGCTTTTTAAAAGGATATAAGTAAGAAAAAGTACAGAACAGGCTTGGTGTTTTATGGTTATTGCACAGATCAAAAACTTAAATGATATCTTCCTCCTTCTGCCTTAAATTAGGAATGTTGTATTGTTTTAAAGTAGCTGCCTTATAAAAATTATGGTAACCACTGATGATAGTTCAGTACATGACATTATTTCTTAGAGTAAAAATGAAATTAATTTCTATGAATTTGGATAATTTTCCTGATACAGATTTTTATTCCTCAAAAAGCATGAGGGAGTATTTATAAAAATGAATGAACACAGGCGCTAAAAGAGTGAACAGTTACTGTGTTAGTACTTATGGGTTTTCAGTTAGCTTATTTTTTGTGTTTTGTTTGAATGTGAAATGATAGCTCACTAAATATTTGGAAGGAAAGCATATTTAACATCAGCTTCATTAGTATTGTATTCAGTGACTTTATTTTAAAGTATTCCATGTATAATGACTTCTTTTTAATGATTAGTAGTTGTGCTAAGGGATTAAGCAGAATATGATGACATTTTTATGTATACCAGACAGGAGAAAGAGGCATATATCAAAGCAAAATATGTGGAAAGGAAATTTGTGGATAAATATTCTGTATCATCATCACCTCCTGAGCAGGAAAAAAAGGTTGTCTCCAAAGATAGCGAAGAAAAGAGGCTGAGCATTCCTAAACTTGGGCCAGGCGACCAAGTCAGAACATCCATCCAGAGTTCAGGTATTATAACTCCCTTGGTGTGTAGATAAAGATGTCCTTAAATTGAAATCACATCATAATCTCTGAATTAGTAGCTGCTATAAACATTTTTAAATGCTAAAATCATGTCTTCTTCTACATATTCTAAGGAAAAACTGAATTTTTATGCCTTTAAAACAGTTAAATTTAAATAGTGCCATGATAATTCACACTTCTAGGTAATGTGTATATTCTAAGGAGTAAAACTGCCTAAAATGCAAGCAGAGATGTTAACTATAAATCTATCATGCTAAGAGCCCTAAGTATCTGATTAATTACCTGATTTCCTTCCTATTTTTCCTCCTAAATTTTTCCCAGTAACGTATTTTCCTGCCCTTTTCCCTTCTTATGGCCTGCTCTGTGCTTTGCTAACTTGCATGTCCCCAGTGGTTGCTGTAAATAGCGACGAGGCCAGGCGGGAGTCTCTGTTCTGTCCTGATGAGCTAGATTCACTCTTCTCCTACTTTGATACTTCTTCAAAACTGCGTAGTAGTAAGTACTACTCTTGTGGAGCATTCCAAGTCTGTGCCAGTGGTCATTGTGCGGTGTGGCCATCTCTTTAGCTGTTTCACATTGTCTCAGAATTACACATTACTTATTGTCATGCAATCAGCCAAGCTCGTCACTATCCCTGACATTTTATGGGATAACGAGAGGTGTTGCAACTCTGAAAATAAATTCGTTCATTTTTAGACTTTGTGATTGACTTATATTTTGATAAGCTAAGTGTACAAAAGGATTAAGATAGTACTAAATGTATTCTGTTGGTGGTGGCAGAGTTCATGTTTATGTGTAAAAGCTCATTTTAAAACCTTGTTGCTTGTGGGAGACTGTTTTCTAAATGGTCTGAACTTTAATCACCAGCTGATTTTTCTTTAAAACAGTTAAAAGTAATGACAGTGGAATCCAGCAGAGTTCTGATGATGGAAGAGAATCTTTACCCTCCACAGTGTCAGCCAATAGTTTATATGAGCCTGGTGAGTTTTTATGAAATTCAGTGTTAATTGGTATTACTGAGTAACACGCATGTGGTAAATGCCTAGTTTTGATTAAGTAGTTTCTATAGGAAGTGGTTAGTCTTTTTGGATTGTATTGTTAACTGAGAAAGTAGCAATTTTTTTTTCATGTTTGGAAGTTTTTTTCCTAGTTTTACATTCTTTAAGCCTCATGATATGTGCTCAAAGTGCCGTGCCGGTAGCTTAGTGTAATTGTTAATCCACATGAACTCTACATCTTTACTATTCCTTATCCTTCCATTTAGCCGTTTTTTTTTAATCAGGAGAAAGAGATCAGAAACTCTGTCGCTGTTAGTTTTTTTTTTTTTTTAACCTGTGCTTTATGCTTACATTCTTTCCTTCATGATTTAAGTGATTGATCTTATAGAATATCCAAGAGAATAAGCATTCTTCAAATTATCTGACTGGTCATAGTGCAAATTGTGATGGTTTTGAATCACCCTAGGAATGAAGTGAGGTTTGATCTAGTAGTAAAATTTCTTTTTTTTTTTTTTTAAGATTTATTTATTTATTTGCAAGTCAGAGTTACACAGAGAGAGGAGAGGCAGAAAGGTCGAGAGAGAGAGGTCTTCCATCCGATGGTTCACTCCCCAATTGGCTGCAACGGCCGGAACTGTGCTGATCCGAAGCCAGGAGCCAGGAGCTTCTTCCAAGTCTTCCACGCAGGTGCAGGGGGCCAAGGACTTGGACCATCTTCTACTGCTTTCTCAGGCCATAGCAGAGAGCTGGATTGGAAGTGGAGCAGCTGGTCTCAAATTGGGCCCATATAGGATGCTAGCGCTTAAGACCAGGGTGTTAACTCGCTGCACCACAGCACCGACCCCTGGTAGTAAAATTTCTTTAGGAATTCTAGCTCCCTCTTGTGTCGAAGTTTTTAGTAATATACCCTATTTTTAATTCATTGGATACTGGCCAAGATGACATGCCAGTTGATGTCTTTTTAAAAAAAAGTTGAATGTTTAGGGAATGAATAGTCTATAGCTAGTAAGATATCTGAGGCCGGTGCCGTGGCTCACTAGGCTAATCCTCCGCCTTGCTGCACCGGCACACCGGGTTCTAGTCCTGGTCGGGGCGCCAGATTCTGTCCCGGTTGTCCCTCTTCCAGGCCAGCTCTCTGCTGTGGTCAGGGAGTGCAGTGGAGGATGGCCCAAGTGCTTGGGCCCTGCACCCCATGGAGACCAGGAGAAGCACCTGGCTCCTGGCTTCAGATCAGCGAGATGCGCCGGCCGCGGCGGCCATTGAAGGGTGAACCAACGGCAAAGGAAGACCTTTCTCTCTGTCCACTCTGTCAAAAAAAAAAAAAAGAAAAAAGATAATCTGTGTGACACTCTAGGATAGTTTAATGGTTTCTTATGTCACAGCTTTCACATTGTGGTTTTAGTTCATTTTTTAAAATACACTGAAGATTTACCATCTTAGCCATTTTGAAGAATGCAGTTCAGTGGCATTTAAATACATTCATGTTTGCCTGCATATATCCATAGAACTCTTTTCATCCTGCAGAACTGTGTACTTATTAGACAGTACCTACCATCCCCTCACCAAGAGCCCACTTTTATTGTTGTATTTGTGTTTGCATTACAGAAGGAGAAAGGCAAGATTCTTCTGTGTTTCTCGATTCTAAACATCTTAATCCAGGACTTCAGCTCTACAGGGCTTCATATGAAAAAAATCTTCCAAAAATGGCTGAGGCTTTGGCTCATGGTGCAGATGTGAACTGGGCTAATTCAGAGGAAAACAAAGCAACACCACTTATTCAGGCTGTATTAGGGGTATGAATTCTTACTTGGAGCTTTTTGGTGGTGGTAAAACATTAAAAAAAAAAAAACAGTTCAAGATGCTTTTAGCGTTTTTTAAAATTTGTATTAATAGATGGATTAGAAAACAGAAGAAGCCTCTATGGGGCTGGTAATGATATCTGGAAATCACTTGATTGGTTCAGTTTTTTTTTTAAGTAGAAGAAAAATCTGAAAATGAAAGTAGTAGTTTGTTTTGTTGGATCACAAACTGCAAATGAATTCTTACTAGAAATAGTTCTTAGGAAGAAAATAAAACAATTTATCATTTCTGTGCTTTTCCTGGGAGTTATTTTTTTGGGGGGAAGGGAGAATGAAATAGAAATGCTATTTGACTAACATAAATAAAACTGCATTGCTTTTAAATAGAAATGTATTGTTGTTTCTTTTTGTACATTGTTGCCCTCCTTTTTTCTTTAAGGGCTCTTTGGTGACATGCGAGTTCCTTCTACAGAATGGTGCTAATGTGAACCAAAGAGATGTTCAAGGGCGGGGACCACTGCACCATGCCACCGTCTTAGGGCATACAGGGTAACTAGATTGCTTAAATAATTAAGTAGATTTTATTTGAAAATTATTTTGAAACACTAGTTAGCTTTTTCTGAGGTTAAGGTCACTTGGTAGAGTTTGTAAAGGAGTACATTCATGTGACTTTACTAGTATGATAGAATTTGAACATTAAAGACTCTTGTTCAGAAAAAACCTGTGGTTGGCACAAGCATTTAGCCTAGGGTTAACACAGTGCTTGGGGTGCCTGTGTCCTGGATCAGAGTGCCTGGGTTTGAGTCCTGACACTGCTCCTGATTCTATCCTAATATGTACCCTAGAAGTCAGCTTATAATGGCTGATGGTTCAAGTAGTTGTGTCCCTGACATGCAATGGAAGACCTGGATTGAGTTCCTGGTGCCCAGCTTCCATCTGGCCAGGCTGGCCCTATGCCATCCTTTATGGACATTTGGGGAGTGAACCAGCAGATGGGAACTGTCTGCTCCGTCTCTTAAACTAAATAAAAAAATTTTAAAAAGCCATTGTTAGTTTTTAGATTTTGGTACTGCATCACTTACCTAACTTAGCTAGATCATTTTAAGTAGGTCAGTTGTAATACCTCTTCTGTGACTGAAATTATGATGATTTTGTCAGACTTCTTTTCTGTGTGTGTATTTATAAATGTACACATACATTACATTAACTACATAGCACATACACACAGCCTGTATTGGAAGATCTTTGTAACTTTGGAATCGCTAGTTTTTCCATAGGGTTGCTAAAGTCAAATTATAAATGAAATTCTTAGTTTGGACTATTGATATTATGGCTTTTGGAGCAATATTAAGACTCATAGAACAATAAAATCATGAAAATGGACTTTCTCTTAGTAAGTATAAATAAAATAAATCTTGACTTTATATGAAAAGTTTATCATAGCTGACTTTTTAAATGAAACACCTCAGGGTACCCAACATAATTGGTTTTTCTTTTTTAAATTTATTTTTTAGTGTCTTCAGTTTTTAGTATAGCTTATTTTCTTTCCCTATATCATCAGTGGGATTCAATTCAATAACTCCATCATAAAAATTTTCTATACTTATCTAAGTATTTAACCTAGTCTGTATATTTCTTCTAAAATTATCATAATTCTTCCTATTTTGTAGACCCCATTTGCCCATTTTTTCAGAAGTGTATAAATATATATGTTTAAATGTTTGTTTATTTTATTTGAGATGTAGGGAGACAGAAAGAGAGGAAGAGGGAAGAGGGAGAGGGAGACAGAAATCGTTTGTTCATTGGTTCACTCCCCAAATGCCTGCAACAGCTAGGTCTGGGTCAGGCTGAAACCAGTAGAAGAAACTTTATCCAAATCTCCCACATGGATGGCAAAACCTCAAGTACTTTTTTTTTTTTTTTTAAGAAGACTTGTTTTATTTATTTAAAAGGCAGAGTTATGGAGAGAGAGGGAGAGAAAGAGATCTTCCATCTGCTGATTCACTCCTCAAATGACCACAACTGCCGGGGCTGGGCCAGGCTGAAGCCAGGAACCTGGAACTCCACTGAGTCTCCAAGTGGGTGGAAGGACCCAAGATTCTTGGGCCGTTTTCTGCTATTTTCTCAGGTGCATTATCAGGCAGGTGGACTGCAAGTGGAGCAGTTGGGACTCGAACTGGTACTCATGTTGGATGCCAGCATTACTTATTTTTTATGTCATAGCATCACATTTTTTATGATATTCTTTGAGGGTAGGGATCATAATTTATACATCACAGTATGTTATATAGTACTTTAAATAAAATGTATATGAAAATATCTTGAGACTGGTCTTGGTAAATTTTTATTATTAGTCAGTATTTAATAAATATAGAATGAATTAAGAATTTCTTAATAAAAATGTTATTTTTTAATTAAGTAGAACTTTTTATTTTTTAAGTTAAATATTAACTTTTTTCCTTGTTGTAAATATCTGAAAAATACTGTTTCCTTAAACAGGCAGGTGTGTTTATTTCTAAAACGAGGTGCCAATCAACATGCCACTGATGAAGAAGGGAAAGACCCTTTGAGCATAGCTGTAGAAGCAGCCAATGCTGATATAGTAACCTTGTAAGTATTTTCTTCTACTCAAATATTTTTCATATAATGTATTATTTGTACAGGCTGTTAACATAGAGTTTTATACTTAATGTGTGAATTTTAAATTTGGCATTTACTATATGCCACATGTTTTTCTAAGTACATTAAATGTAAACACTGTAAATGAATGAACAGCTGGCTTGTTTATCATAAAGACCCTGTAAGACATTTTCTCATTTTATAAATAAGGAAGCTTTGCTACAGATAATTTGAGGAATTAATAATTGGTGGAGCTGGGACTTTAAACCAAGAATTCTGACTCTGAAACCCTTCTTCTTAGCCACTTCTGCTCTACTGCTTCATTAGTAGAAAAAGAAAACCATATGGGTGCTAGTTCAAGTCCCAGTTCTCTAAAATGATTTGTTTAATTTTTTGTATATTTCTAAGGGGGGAGAGATTTGAGATTGGTAGAATAATGGGTAATTATTCTAGTGCCCTGAGAATTAAAAGATTGTAAGTAGAGAAGTTGCATTGCCTTTGCAGAGTGACAGGAATTTGTGCTTTTTTTTTCTTAATAAAGTATTCACACAAACACCTGATTAAATTTTTAAAAAACAGATTTATTTCTTTATTTGAAAAGCAGAGCTGCAGGTACAAAGGGAGAGACATAGAGATCTTCCTCCTGCTGGTTCACTCCCCAGAGGGCTGCAATAATTGGGATTGAGCCAGCCAGAAACCAGGAGCCTGGACTCCATCCAGGTCTCCCACATGGTTTCAGGGACTGAAGAACTTGGGCCATCCTCCACTGCCAACCCTGCACCTGATAATTTTTTTTTCTTAAGATTATTTATTTGTAAGTCAGAGTCAGAGGTTACAGAGAGAGAGAGAGATCTTCCATCCGCTGCTTCACTCCCCAATTGGCTGCAATGGCCAGAGCCACGCTAATCCAAAGCCAGGTGCCAGGAGCCAGGAGCCTCCTCTGGGTCTCCCAAGTGGGCACAGGGACCCAAAGACTTGTGCCATCCTCCACTGCTTTCCCAGGCCATAGCAGAGAGCTGGATCAGAAGTGGAGCAGCTGGGACTCAAACTGGCGCCCATATGGGATGCTGGCACTGGAGGCGCTATGCCACAGCAGCGACCCCCTGATAAATTTTATGATAAAAATACATGTTTCTGAATGTTTGAATCAAATTGAATGTGATCTGTTAGAGAAAGAATTTTGAAGTCTTGCTTTGATTTACATCAAACTAGTTTGTTACAGTTGTAATCTAGAAATGTGGCTATTACATGTACTTCATTGTTACGTAAGAAACCTCAAGCATATTTTGTATGAAGTTATTTACTTAGTCAATTCTGCACTACATGAAGCCCAGAATTACGATCCTTCATCCTTTGAGTAGAAGTAGGCCCATCTACATTACTGAATCTCAGACACTTAGACAAACTCCCATGGCTGCCTTGAACTCCTAAGCTTCCAATGAGAATCCTTGACTTGCCATGTGTCATCCATCTCTGATCCCTGCCATATTAATGAAATCAAACAGCAAAACCAACTCCCTGTACTCAGTGTCTTGAATTACTGTTATTGTGAAGTCTATTGTAGGAAAGTCAGAACTATTAAATTATTGTGGAGTTAGAATATGAGACAAATAAATTATTAAAGAAAAGATACTGTAGGGAAAGTAACCTGGGAACTTCTAAGGCAATTCCTATATAACAGTAATCCCCTTCCTCAAAAATATCGATTTCCAAGTTGTCTAGATTTTCTCATTTTGTGGAAAGACTTAGGTTTCACTTAAGAATTTTTGTAAAGGACTCTTTCTAAAAATAAGGATGCCAAAGGAAAACTTATGGAGCTGTCGTTAATTCATACAGTGATTGAGTGAACAGATGAAGGGAGTTGTGGAACCTTGAAGGTTAGGAAAAGTCCGTGTCTGATGTTGCTATAGCCAGAGGGAAGATGTCAGAAGAGGGTGATATAGGTCCTAGAAGGCAGTGGGTATTTACTGGCTCAGCAGGACTGGCAAGCTGTACAAAGTAGGAGAGACAATATTTGTCTTTTTCAAAATGTTGCTCAAAGTTAGTTGGAAAAAATGAAAAGAGGAAATACTTACCTTCTTACCCCAATGCTACATGTTTTCCTTCAGTTGCCAGGATGAGTAATTCTAAGATAGCCAATATGGTAGCCTTGTGAAAACCTTGGTATCCCATAGTTGTTTAATTTTATTTAGTTTTTAAAATATTTATTTATGTATTTTAAGGTCAGAGTTGCAGATCAAGAGAGAGAGAGGGAGTGACAGAAATCTTCCATTCGCTTGTTCACTCCCCAAATGGCCACAACTGCTGGAGCTGGGCTGGTCCAAAGCCAGGAACCAGGAGCTTCTTCTGGGTTTCCTTTATGGGTACAGAGACCTAAGGACTTGAGCTATTCTACATTGCTTTCCCAAGCACATTAGCAGCAAGCTGAATCAGAAGCGGAGCAGCTGGGACTCAAACTGGTGGCCCATATTGGATGCCAACACCACAGGCAATGACTTTGCCTGCTACACCATAGTGTCAGCCCCATTTATTTTCATAATATTTGTGAATCAGAATATATTCCCAGTACTTAGAGATAGCACCTGCAATTTAAACCTTGGAAACTCCCTCACCTCATTGTGAGCCAGAGAACTTAGAACAACCTATTGCTTTCATACAAGAGAAGCAATAATTTCACCAGTTGGCAGTTAATTGTTGACAGGTTGTGGTAGGAGCCAGGTATCCTCTGGAGTCTGAAGGAAGCATGCTGCTGGACTTGTTGCAGGGATGCTGCTTAAATGGAACTGGAATGTACTTGTCAGAAATCTTTCATTGTCTTTTCTCATAAGAATTCTCTGATTGTGAGATAATTTTATATCTCATTTTGCAAGGTCTGATAAACCCAAAGCCATTTTATTTTAGTGGCAAATACTGGTAAAAGAAAAAGAATTATATTAATACATGTATTACCTGCTTATATAGTTCATTTGTTTACGAACGAATCATCTAAAAGATTTTTTTGTTTACTTTTAGGTTACGCTTAGCAAGAATGAATGAAGAGATGCGGGAATCCGAAGGACTTTATGGACAGCCAGGTCAATATTCTACTAATAATCATACTGAAATGCAGTATAAGAAATGCATTCAGGAGTTTATCAGTTTACAGTTGGAAGATTCATAGTTCATTAGCAAACCAACATGACAACTTAGTTTTTATAACTTACTTGTAAATTGTGAGTTGTTAGGTATGGACTGTACTTCTTACATTCTTGGGTGGCTAATCTTGGGCCTTTAAAAATCCTTAATTACTCCTATTACAGTACCCCTTGACTTGCTATAGTTAAGTCCGGCTGCTGACTTTATCTGCTGTACAGATGTCTTCCATATACATTCCAGTGAAGTGAATGGAATGATAAAAGTATTCTTTATATATACTTACAGCAGCAAAATGGTTGGTTTCTTTTTGGAATTCTTTTTAGCTGTCAAATGAATATAACAAAATTGTTTTCTTTTTGTTATTCAGGGAATTTCTATGAATTGTGTTCAGGGAAAAAGACAAATCATGTGTTTGATATGTAACGAGTCAGTATGGAAAGTATCATGAAAAAGTTTATTGATGAGTCTTGTATGCCTATCTGAAAATGATTTGAAGATTTAAGATAAAAATATACCAGTAGATTGAGAAGTTCACAAAGGGAATGGAATCAGTTTAAAAGGTTGAGGAAAAAGTTCTCACTTTATCGTTAGCTTTGCCTCAAGCAGTTGTATAACATCTATTGGATAACTGCAAGTATTTAGACCAGTATTTTGTGAACCTAATGGCTAAGTTGACTTATTCTTATTAGAGAAATCTTAATTCATGATCATTTCAAGTTACATTTTGAATAATTTTCACCTGTGAGTCAAGATGTCAAGAAATAAGAAAATGTGTGCTGATCAGATTCCCGTCTTTGATGAACATATGCTGGTGATATATTCTTCACCAAGAAGAGAATAATTATTTCATGAATTTGAATATATGAATTACTATTCTGCTTTAAATTCATATACATATTAGTAAAAAATTCAGGAATTTATGACTAAAAGACTTGACAGTGTTCATTCATTTAATTGAATTAAAAAGGGGAATATTGATGCATTAATTTAAAAGTGGCCTGATAATATCTTTTATTCTTCTTGTTTAAATGGGTTTTAAAATCTCTGTATTTTATGCTAGTTTAAAGTCATTTACTTTATTTTAGCCAGATAAATATATAATATCAGTTTGGGGGCATTCTTTTCTTAGAGAACAGTATTGGCTGCTTCTTTTTGGCTTAATTTAATAGAGAACAAGTGAGAATTTTGAGAATGGAGGCACTTGAACTAGATATTTCCAATCTAGGTGTCCTGCTTTAATCCTATGGATCGTAGAATACTGCTTACTCTTAATATTCCATGAAGAGGAGTACTGGTTAAGGGTGAAGCTCTAGAATTAATCCTGGATTTCACCCATTTGTTTTAAACTTGAATGCCAGATTTTACATAAGTTATAATTTTATAACAGATATATGTATGTGATAGTATTACTGGGCCGTTTTTGAGGCCTTTGTGTTTAAGCACTTTAAAATAAACAATGCTCAAAGGATATGACCTGAGATAAGAGAGAACATCAAGATTTTAAGTTAGATAATTTTTTTTCCCTGAAATTTTAAACTTAAATGTTTGGTGAGCTACTCTTTTCCTTAAGGTGTGTGCTGCTGAAGTTCACCCAAGTGATTAGTGCAAAGGTCAGTGGTCAGCTCTTCTCTGGAAGTGGGAAGACTGACAGGTCAGGGCCTCTGGGTTGTTGCCACCTCCATCTGGTTCCACCCCAATTACTTGGGTTTTGGCTCTCACCATTTGGTATTCACATGTCTCTTTCACTATGGTATATTTATTAAGTTTATCCAGAAGTATATGAGTAATCCCTTCCATGCATAGTAGAAACATGGATATTTCTAATTTATCTTAATGAAAATTAGAAAAAAAAGCATTTTAAAACAAGCTCTCCTCCCATTCTCAAATTTTAGTTTTGAGGTTAAAAAATAGATCAGAATTCTGGAAATAGTGTTATCACAATAAAATTGGACTTCTTGATCCACTTAAGGATCAGTTTCAAAGTTAATTGTGCTTTTAATTCATTCACAGTGCCTAATATTTAGAGCAGAATAATTTTATGCTTATACAGGTGACATGGTTAAATGGCACAGTGATTGCTTTCTGGTTGCTTTTTTTCCCTTTATGCATCTTTGGAGAGCAGATGTGCTTGGCTCATGGTTTTTCCTCTGCTTATCACTAAAAGTTTTTCTCATAGATTTTGGTTAATTGTTTTATTGGGATCCTATTTTGGCTATCCTAGCAATAGAAAGAAAAACCTCAGAATTCCAGGTTATTTCTAAGTGCAGGTATTTTCATTCTTTTGATAATGAGGAGCTCTATCATTTGAAAGACTCAGATATAATATTTGGCAATTGTGGACTTGTTTCTAGGGAATCTCCTTTCTGAACTTTCTGTCTACAACTCCAAGAACCTGAGACACTCTATTTTTTTTTTTCAAGGCAATGTGAGAACATACATCTTCTGAAAGAAGGCAATGTCCTTCCTCAGGCATGCCTACAACTCTTGGGAGGCTTGTGTGGATGAGGGAAATGGCACATTCTGCTCTTAATTGTTGGAGACCAGTTTGGTAATTCCCACAGTCTCTGGTCCTATGACTCTCGATTATTGGCAGGTCCTCAGCCAGTTGAGAACAGTGCTTTAGGGGTCCACTACTAGTTATGTGAACATGTAGTAGGCAGACTGGGAATCACTGATTTACTCAGTTACAAAATGAAGGTATTGCCAACTCAGGGCAAGATTATGCATTTAATCATCTTGGGGTGAGTCTCACATGTGCCCCCACTTGAGGGATCAAAATTGGCCAGTTCTTGAACCACCATTACTGCTGTTGTCATGAGTATTCTGAATACCAAAAATTAAAGATGAATCTGCACTCTCAGTGGAAACACAACAGTCTATATTTTAAAAACCTCAATTTCTCCAAGCACATAGAAGAGTTAACTCTCTGAAGGGAACTGGAACGTGGCTAAGTAATCTAAAGAATATGCTTAGTATTACAAATACTGGATGATTAGTTGTTTATCATTTATAATAATATTCCAGGGCAGCATATTCTGAGTTTTATTTATGTGTTCTAGTATAGACAAATTATGTTTGCCTTGTGAGAAATTCTAAGTGATTGAAATTATACTTAAATTTTAAGTAATCACAATGAAGTTCAGTTTGTGTTTGCTGTATTAACTATCTTAGTCATTGTTGTTGTAATATTTGCTTTTGACACGCATTTTGAGGTCTAAGAAAGGTAGTATATTAACAGTGCACTAATTGTTTTGTTAGAAACTGTTAACAAAAAGTTGTGTGTATGTGTGTATGAAGGTGGAAACTTCCTTTTGTATTGTAGTAACTTTTCAAATGTATTCAGTCAGTGAAACCAAGGATTATTATAGCGCCAACATTTTCCCTCAAGGAAGTGTTTAGTTCAGTGAATGAAAGGTCTTATAGTTTGTTTTGCATGGTACAATGGTTCTACTAAAATGTACTTGTGTAATAGGTATTAGATGACTTAAAAACAAAAACTGGGAAAACATAAAAAAATCCCACAGCTTGTCATAAAAATATGCATTGCTAATAGTAGAAGCCATATATTGCCATTGTACTGTTGTTATATTTAAGAATGCTCATTTGGTGCTATCTGTAAACCGTTTGGCATTAGTGTTTGCTAGATCCTTCTTTCTATTTCCTCTTGAATGTATAATGTGTGCCTTTTAAGTTACTTTTGGTGTTTAATGGTACAATCATTGTGGTATTTTTGTATTATAATCGGCACTTTACACTTTTCTTGGAAAGTAAAATTCCAGACTATCCTGTTTAAATAATATTTTAAAAATATTTATAAAGTTTACAATAAATATTTTAAATATTTTCATTTAACATCTAAAATTTTTAGAATATTTGTATGGTTTGTTAACTTCCTAAAGTTTATTGTTGCTCTCTTTGTTTTGTTATCTTTTAGAATGACTAAAAATGGGAAAGGCTGTAGTTTGTCTTTTAATGTGGAAGTAAACTTTTAAGAATTCATAGGTATAAATAGATTGTGTCACCAGTTGTTACAGAATGTCAACCCTTATTTTGTTTTAGTAGTAATGATTTGAATTAGGTGTCACAACCAAACTACTAAGATTCTATTTTTTTTTCCTTTGTAAAGTTGCTTGATTAGATTTAATTTATTGATTCAGGTCATGAATAAATTTCCAGGGCTAAATGAAAACTATATAGAGATTTTAATAAATTGCCTTTTATATAGACTAAATATTAAAAGCAAATAAAAATATTAAAAATTTTTATTGGAAATCTTGGGTTATACTGTTAGACATTTTTGCTAGGTCTTTACCTCTGTCCAACATTTTTCTAATTCTCTAGCTTTTGGTATGATATCTGTTGTCTCACAAATCTTGCCTCTTAAAAACTGACAAAACTTACTGCACTATTAATAACAACTGTGTCAATGAGTTTATTATAAGATGGGTGCAAGGTATTTTCTGGAAAATAATTATAAAATCATGTTACAACAATAGTTATCTAAAACAGTATATTATGGTCTAAATTCTGAGGACAGAATTATGCTAAGCGTCTGTGTGAAGCTAGTGTTTAGCAGGAAGCATTCATGGTGAATGATTCGTTTTAAAAATAAGATTTTTTTTTCTGATGAATTAATCTGTATATATTTAGTTTCTCATGGCAAGAAAAACAGTATTCACTGTGCTATAATATCAATAGAATATTCTCTATGAGCATATTTGTGTGTGTTCATTTTCTTTTTCCTCTAATTTAACAGGTGATCACTGGTATTCATTCCCATTTTATCATAGTATTCTTGCTCATAAGATCTACAATAAACAAAACACTCTGACTACATATGAAACTATGATTTGATAGTCATTTTCTATTTTCCATTTTAAGCATAGTAAGCTGTAGACTAGGTGTGTTAATTTTAACCATTAAAGAATTAACTTCATTGTGTTATTTCAATTTAAATTTGATTAAAATATAATAGTAAAATAGGAAAGTTGTTTCCATCTGATGATCAGTTTGTCTTGTTGATTAATAACTTGCATCCATCAGGAACTTTAGTGTTTGATTTGGTCATTTCTTTTGACCTTTATCAAGGAAAATATTTGAAGAATGTCTTGTTTCCTCTAACTCATTTAGAATGACTTATTTCTCATGTTAATAAATGTATTTCTTTACCTTGCTTTAAAACACTTGCATCTTTGTTCTTTTCTAACTCTGAACTTTCCACTGTGGCTGCATCTGAGGTGCTTTTTTCAGGTATAGTTTTTTTTTTCCTTTCATTAAATACTTTTCCAGCATTTATATTTAGTTACTCTCTTCTTCCAAAAATATTCATCTGAATAAAATTTTAATGTAATGATTTATAAGACATTTAGTAGTCATAAAAATTGTTGTTTATTAGTACTTTAATTGTATAAATTTTAAATTCATTCTTATTGTACTTTCATGCAGGTGATGAAACGTACCAGGATATTTTTCGTGATTTTTCCCAAATGGCATCCAATAATCCAGAGAAATTAAATCGTTTCCAGCAGGACTCACAGAAATTCTGAAATTTTTTAAGAAGGTGGAACATAAGAAACCTGATGACCCTCACCATGACTGAAAATTCACAGATTTTTACTGAATTAATTCTACTTAATTTTGCTATATATTGAATGGTTTGGAGAAAAGGTACCCATTCACTGATGTTGTTATAAATTAAACAACTAGTAGTTGGGAGAGGACCCTAATACTATAGGACCTATTTTATTAAAAAATTAAAAACCTGTTTAAAGGGTTTATTTTTAATAAAGTTGAATCTAGATTTCATCTAACTGTAGGGTATAGGATACAAAGAGATTAGACAGAATCTTCTTCTCTCTTGCTCTTTTTTTTTGGTCAAGGGGGATGATGATAGCATTGATTTTTTTTTTTTTTCCATGCGTCGAGCGTGGGATCATTCAGTCCAGCATGTCTGCATCAAGTGGGAGCCAGCTGTTCCGCCTGCCTCAAGAATGTGTTCTTTCTTTGGCTTCCATGATGATTTTTGGTGGTTCATAAATAGGTGTATGTGCTTTTTCTTTTTGGTAGCCTCCGTGTTGTACACACAATGTATGACTTCATTTTGAAACTAGAGATTATGCTTTCCCCATTTGCTCATGAATGCCCTTGGATTCCTTAGATGACAGGTTACTGCCTGATACTTTTACATACATATAATAGCTGTATAGTAAACCATAGTTCAGTCCTTTAGATTTAGTCCTTTCTATGAAGCAGAAGAGAAACTGTTAATTTTTTTTAACCATCAAAAAAATCCCAGTTCAGAAGTTATAGTTCTTCATTGTTGGATTGATTTCCTAAAACCCTAACAGATTTGTTGATATAATAAAACTGTTTCAAAGGTTACGTGAATGTTGCAAAATTATGCTTTCATCAAAACATAACTTTCAAAGAAAAAAGTTGATTTATAAAAATAATATAGAGCATTTTTATTTTGAGGTTTGCCCTTTTGAAGATAACATTATTGCTGTTGCTGTTGGTGAAAGGAAAATTTATACAAAGTAGAAAAAAGACCCATATTTTCTTAGTTTACACTAAAGTATACAGCAAAAACTTGCTTTTGATTTCCATCCTGTGTACTGTAAGCAATGTACATTCTTTTAAATTACAGCATGTATATAGCTTCAATATTTGCTTATATGAATTACAAACCCTTAAATTCCAATACATTATCAGTATATTTAGTTACCATTATATGTTACAAATTAGTCTTATCCCACCTTTGATTGACATATCTTATGGCAAGTATAGAAGAGTTAGATAATTTGCCTTATGGTACCTTTCTAATGCTGTCAATAATTAAATTTAACCCGTTAAAATTATTTGTAAATAATATTATTGATACTCAGTTTCTACATGAGGGTTTTACACTTGCAAAAGAGAAGTTGTAGTTAATTGGATAGGTAATAAATTTTCTAACATTTTACCCCGATAAGTAGAGTTTTATAAATTGATGAAACACTAAATCATTATCTAAATAAGAATTATACTTAAATAAATTTATATCACAGAAAAGGGTCCATACCTAGGCCTTTTTGGATACATTAATGTTTATTTAGTAATGGTCAATATATGTTGGATAAGAATAAAATATATTTGTGAATTATTTCTGAGGAAATGCTAACTTCCAAAACATTGTATTTTAACTAGAACAATATCAAGAACATTAAATCTTTCTTGTTTCACTTCAGAGTCATAGATCAAAGATAGACTTTTAGATACTTTATCTAAAGGCAAAAACCTGATTTGGAACAACAGTGTTTTTTAGAATGTACTTGGATATTAGTTGTCCAGAAACTCAAGGAAAAGCAATATGTTAAAGAGAAGAAGAAAGAGAAGTGAAAAGAAAGCCCTCACTTCTTCTTTGTAGTGCCTGTTCCTGTTTAATCCCAGGGCTTCACTCCTAAAGCTCTTGACCTTGAGGAAGTCTAGGCAGTTTTCCTTTTGGGTCCAGCCATCGGTGCTTCCATACACCTCTGAGATATGTGTGATTGTGAAGGCAGTTGCTTATGACACTCTTAACTCCTGTGGCTTGAGTCATGGGTTGTTAATATGGCAGTAATTAATATCTCCTTAAATTTAATGTTTAGAAATATATTTTAGTGCCCTAAAGATGATCATTATTCTGAATATCTTCAGAGAAATTTAAATCTTTAATATTGCAGGGAAGCTGGCAATACAGAAATATATTTCTGTGGCTTGGTTTCTTGAATGTGCTGGTATCCAGTTTGGGCTAAATTTGGCAGAAATGATAGAGTAAACAGCAAGGTTTTAAGTTAAATTAATAGTTACAAGGTAGGTTGGCTCTTAGGTGCATTTAGCTGTGTCAGCTAATAGCTTTTCTACAGTATGTAACAAATCCAAGTTTAGTTATGCTGAGAAGTGTTCAGTCATGATGAGGAATTACAGTGTGAACAGTGTTAAACATTCTCTTGGGCTTCATTAGTCCCTGTGATTGCCCTTTGTTTTCTTTCCATAATTGATCTGCTGACATTAGTTTCTGATTCCTAATTACATTTTTAGCTTATTGTCATTAGCTCATAAACTTAAAAATTGGATTAATGCCAAAGCAAGAATAGTAATACTACCTGTGAAGAGTTTATAAAATGCAGTTTCATATTAGAACTAGGCTAAAGGTAATTGAACAGTTTAATTGCAGTGCTTCCTTGCATCATTTAATGTTTAAAAATCTAAAGCTAGAAGTTATCTTTAATAAAATCTTTAGAAATTCAAAAATTTCCAAGGATTTACCACATTAGAGTATTATCTAATTTTTACTAGTCTTCAGCGTCGATTTTAATGAACTTCGGTGTTTACTCACCAAAACAAACAAACTTGACTTGGAATATGTACTTTGGTTCTTTAGGAGTGTATTTTGGGGGAAAAAATGTATACCTTCACAATCGAACATCTTAAGTTTGTCATACTTTAGCGGTATTTTTTTAAAAAAACACAATTTTACATATGTTCAATGTGATCACAGCAAACCAAAATGTTGTAAGATATCCCATTTGGAATAATTTCATATTCTAATATCACTCTTATGTTGTCAGATTAACTCTTGTATGATAACACCATGGGCATGGTACATTTTTATAGCATTGAATGGCTTTGGAACTGCATGATACAGTGGAAAGAGCACAGACCAGTAGTCACTACCCTTTTTGGATTCAGGGTTCCTCACAGATAAAATTAGTGGGGTAAAACTAAATGTAACATAAATATGTATTATAAATATAACAGCACCCCTTTGTATACTGCTTGCTACTTACAGTGTAATTTGACATTACTTTATCTCACCTGATTCTCACAGTGGGACTTCTGAGATTCTTATTGGGAGATTGTCAACATTGTCTGCTTTTTGATCCTGTGGGCTCCTCTTGTTTTATAGGGGTGGGGGAGTCATTTGCTGTGATAGTTGGTGACAGAGTTGACACCATAACCCAGGTCTGACTGACTGACAGTCAGAGGCACTTTACTTGTATCATGATACGATTTGAAATCATTGTAAAGGATCACAATCTGATAATGACTGCCAGCTTTCCTTGTATGCTCATGGCAAGACTCCAAATATTTTGGAGAACCTGGATTGAGGTTTGAAGGAATAGATGGAGATTTGAAGATGTAAAATTGTAGAAAATTTTGTATTTTTTCAGTAAACATTAGAGAAAGTAAAAAAATTTAAAAAGCAATTTTAATTCAGCATATCCTTCTCAATTACTGGATGATGCATCCAAATGAGAGATAACTAAATGGGGCATGGGTTCAGTGTATCTGGATCCGGACAACTCTAAATATGGCTTTTTGGATATCTCTTTTCTGTTCATATGTATTTATTCACTGAAAGTGTGATAATAGGGAGTACAAAGCTAGATTTGTTAAAATAATCTTTTCTCTGCATTGGTCTTTGCATTACTTATTGTCTAGATTTTCCCACTTTTCTTCAAACTCCCTAACACTCTTTTGGGTGTTAATTTTAAGCAAGGAAAGCTTGCCACATTATAAAGATTGTTTGGCACCATTTTACACAAAGGTGAAAAGTTAACTTTTGGAAATGATGAGCTATTTTTCCATAAGTGTTTACTTGTGCTTTGTGGTATTCTGGATCATTCCAGTCATAAAGACTTATTACATGTAATATTTCTTGCTACCCATGACAAGGTATTTTTAAAGAATGTATAACCAACACTCCATTTACTTTTTATTAGTATGTAGAGGATTTGTATCTAATTAATGAATGTAGTTTTACTGTAGTTTGTCATTGTAAATGGAGCAAAGTACAATATCTTTATAGTTATTCTAAAATGTACATTATGTAAGAATTGTAAATATACTTGATTAAGTACTTTGTATGCTGAAAAATTGCAATAATAAGTCAATAAAATTCTCACTTCTGGCATAGTTCTTTTATGCTCAGACTTCTACTTTTTTGTGAACTATACTTAGTATGGCATATCTGTTATATTTAAGATACTGTATTCTTTTCCAGCCCTTTAAAATTGATACATGTTGATCCCATTTGCTGATTATTTCAATCAAGAAATCCATCCTAATCGTTTAAGTTTTTTCTTTTGATCTGTTTGATCACAAGAGTTCTGATGACCCCTAACTCATTGACTTAAAGTGCAAAAGCCTCTTTTTTGGCCCTTGCACTAGTTTTTTTCTATTGTGATTGATGTATCTGTTTAAGTTCCTAAGCTAGGCAGTGCATTTACTCTCTTTCCTTTTAGTAACTAAACAAGAAACAAAAGCGTATTTTTATATGAATTGGGGATTAAGGAATGAAGTGTTGAAAAACTGAACTGGAAATGAATTGCCTGGTTTTGCCTTTCCTCTAATAATTGAAAGCAGACAGATAAACTTTTCTATGGAACCTGACTTTATTCAGCTTAATTTCATTTTCACAAGAGTCCTGTGTAGAAGAGAAATCTAGTAAATGCTTTGAAAGCCAATACCCTTCATTTTCCATATTGCATCAACAGTGCCTTTACAGAAAAATGTTCAAATGATAAAAAAACAAGGAAGATAATCATCCATAATTCTATTATCTGTGCTGCTCAAAATGGAATCATTTTAATTATGTAAAGGGAGACAAAACAGAATCTAGTTCCTCAGTCATATTCTCACATTTAAGAACTCAGTAGCACCACGTAGCTGGTGATGGTTTTGAAAAGGGATGATCACAGAGTAGCTGTCATCACAGGAAGTCCTGTTGGACAGTGCCAAGAGAGAAACTTACTTTCTTGGCATGTAAAACCTGCTTTCTTTACACATAGTCTTCCCTATATAGACCTTTGGGTTTGTGTATTTATAGAATTATTCAGAAGGATCGTACTGTTTTGTTAATCTGCTTCCTTCAGTTGATAAGAAGACTGTAAAAAATTTTTATTGAAAATTTCAAATGTGTAAAGAGTAAAGAGAAAAATACTCATATCCATTGGTTCCTGGCTAGCATTGTTTTATTGAGGCTCTCACTCACTATTCCCCTCCTTGGATTTTATTTTTTAACCAAATCCCAGATACTTCACCCAGAAACTATCCAGTATTTCTTAAAAAAGAATCATACACTTCCTTAAACTTTAAAGATAAAGTCATTGGGCCATCATTGTAGCATAATGGGTAAAGCTGCTGCTTGCCTAGCTGGCTCCCATACAGGTGCCAGTTCGTGTCCTGGCTGTTTCACTTCCGATCCAGCTCCCTGCCGTTGGCCTGGGAAAGGCAGAGGAAGATGGCCCAGGTATTTGGGTCCCTGCCATTCACGTGGGAGACCTGGAAGAAGCTCCTGGCTCCTGGCTTCGGCCTGGCCCCGCTCTGGCTGTTGCAGCCATCTGGGGGGTGAACCAGCAGATGGAAGATTCCCTCCCTCCCTCCCTCCCTCCTTTCCAGATTTTATTTATTTGAGAGGTTACAGAGAGAGAGACAGAGATAGAGAAAGGTCTTCCATCCGTTGATTCACTCCCCAAATGGTTTCAATGGCCAGAACTGGGCTGACCTGAAGCCAGAAGCTTCCTCCAGGTTATCTACACAGGTACCGGGGCCCAAGCACTTGGGCCATCCTGTACTGCTTTTCCATGCCGTAGGAGAGAGCTGAATTGGAAGGAGTGGCCGGGACACAGACTGGTGCTCATAGGGGATGCCAGCGCGGTTGTTGCCTTCTACGTCACAGTGCTGGCCCCTGTAACTATTAACTTTCAAATAAATAAATATTTAAAAAAACCTGTAATCAGTGTTCATATTTTCTCATCTCCAATGTGATTTTTTACAGATAGATTATTCAAATCAATCGCATATGTTCCACATACTACAGTTGGCTAATATGTCTCGTGAGTCTAATCTATAGGTTTTTCCCTCCATTATCCTAAAACATTTCTACTTGCAGTTTGTTGAATATACCACTTTGAATGATTGCATTGTTAATCACTTAATTGATGAAAATTGATTCCAGTTTTTGCCGTCAAAAACCTGCCTCTGCCTTATCCTAGTGCTAAATATTTTAGTAAATTATAAATTATTTCCTTAGGATCAGTTCCTAGAAGGGAACGTGCTGTTTCTGTGGGCTGGTAATATCTTGAGGTGCATTTAATGTGGTACTGTTAGGTAAGAAAAGTAGACCTCCCTCTTGTTCTGAACCTTGGGGTCTTGTGTTCTTGCAGCAGAGACAGGAGGGAGCAGAGTAGGAGATAAGGTGGCCCTTGGGAATCAGTCATTGAGGATGGTACCTAGTCCTGACACTGGATGAGAAGGTTTTTAGAAACCGTTCATGTAGGCATTGACATGTAAACCAAGTCTAAGGTGGAAAGAATAGGTTGGACAATTTGTCCAACTTCACAAATGTGCTCATTACACAACAGGAAACACCAATTACCAAATCTCTTCTGGCCAGAAATCAGAGAAGTTGAAGTTAGAACTGAAGGGTTATTTGCTCACCACAGTTCTTTGTCCACTTAACCATGTTTTGATTCACCCAGATACGTCAATTTGATGCTGAGAAAACTGCACATATCATCATATGACACACTGCATACTTTTTCTTGTCTGTGTTCTGCTAGAATGCATGCTCTCTGAGGGCAGAGATTTTAATTTTTTTATATCTCTAGGTGCTATTTTACTTAGTATGTAGTAGGCACCCAATATGCATTGAATAAATGGCTGGCTATCTTTTTTTAAAAAATATATTATTATTTATTTTTAAAAGATATTGTTTACTTATTTTAAAAATTTATTTATTTAAATTTATTATTTGTTATTTATTTGAGTTACAGAAATGGAGAGACACCAAGAGAGATATTACATCTACTGGTTCACTCCCCAAATGGCTGCAATGGCTGGGGCTGGGCCAAGCCAAAGCCTGAAACTCTGTCGGGGTCTCCCATGTGGGTGCAGGGACACAAGGACTTAGGTTATCTTCTGCTGCTTTCCCAAGTACATTATCAGAAAGCTGGGTGGGAAGTGGAGCAGCCCGTACTTGAACTGGCACCCATTGGGGATACCGGCATCGTAGGCTGTGGCTATACCAGCTGCACCACAGTGTCTGTCCCTGGCTGGCTATCTTGAACTACTGTTTCAGTTTCCAGTGAACAATTTACTTCAGAAGGTGTAACATTACCTTTTCTTTATGGGCAAAGAGCTGGGAATGATCATCTCCAATGGAAATAAAACTAGCCTGAGTATTTTCCTGATTTACTATGTAATGTTGTTATTCCTATGTAATATTGTTACTCCACAAATCCTAGGAGTCAGTGATCTTAAAAAGTTCTCAAAAAATTTTGTTGAATAAACCCTAGAATAAGTGGCAGAAGGAAATAATACCTTGTTGATATAGATGTAATTTATTAGTAATTAGAATGTTTATTTTTTTAAAGTTTAAGATGTGTTTACATTTTAAAAAATTTTAAGATTTATTATATTTATTTAAGAGAGTTAGAGGTAGAACCAGAGAGAGAGAGAGGTCTTCCATACACTGGTTCACAACCCAAATGGCGGCAACAGCCAGAGCTGAGTTGAGGTGATCCAAAGCCAGGAGCCAGGAACTTCTTCTAGGTCTCCCACGCGAATGCAGGGGCCCAAGGACTCAGGCCATCTTCTACTGCTTTCCCAGGCCACAGCAGAGAGCTGGATCAGAAGTGGAGCAGCTCGGACTCTATAACTGGCATCCATATGGGATGTCGGTGCTACGGACCAGTGCTTTAACCCATTGTGCCACAGTGCTGGCCCCATTAGAATGTAATAAAAGCTATAGATGTTGCTATGGAAATTCTGGAAGACATGTATTAATGGCTTAATAGAGATTTGGAGTTGAGTATTTATAAATACTCCAGAAAAGCTGCAGGTGCTAAATTATTATTGTACATGTTCGATACTTAGGCTTTAAAGGTTTGGTGTCTGTAGCATCGTTTATTATTTCTGAAGCATTAACCACAGTTACAATTTTTTAAAAATGATTTATTTATTTGAAAATGCAGAGTTAGGGAGAAACACAAAGAAATCTCCAATCCACTGGTTCACTCCCCAGATGGCTTCTTGGAACGCCATCTGGGTCTCCCATGTGGGTGCAGGGGCAGGAGCACTGGAGCTATCTTCTGCTTTCCCAGGCACTTTAGCGGGTAGGAGGATTGGAAGTGGAGGTGGCAGGGCTCCAACCGGCACTCAAATGGGATGTTAGCATTGTAGGCGGCAGCTTCAGCCTCAGCACAATGCCTGCCCCTTGTAATGCTTTTCATCCTTTTTCTCATAACCCTTTGAGGCAAACACTAGTATTAGATCCATTTTACATATGGTGTAATTGCAGTTCAGGGCCTTGCCTAAGCCTAACAACTTAGAGTGGCATAGCTCATGTTCCAGCCTGGACTGTCCACTCCAGAGCTTGCTCTCTTAACCAGAGTTGGGTGCTGAAACAGGGCTGGAGTAACTGGTTTTAAAAAGCTTGGGTCTGGGGAAGCAGTAAGACTTGGAATGAGATTATGGCTCCCTTAGGTGCTGATTAGACTTGGGTAATTAAGTCTGCATTTCCTTGAATATAAAATACTTCTACCTCATAGTGTTGTCTGTTACTGGTTTTTTTCAAAATGAGTTGTACGTATTGAACTTGTTAGGCCTGTTTCAGCTGCTGCAACTGAAAGGAGCAAGTGTTAAGAATGAGATGCGAGACTGGCATTGTGGCTTAAGTGGCTGCCTGGGATGCCTGTGATCCAGTCCCACCTAAGACTTCTGATCCAGCTTCCTGTTACTGTGCACCCTGGGAGACAGCAGGCCATGTCAAGTACTTGGTTGGGTGGATGGAGAGTTTCTGGCTCCTGGCTTCAGCTCTGCTCTGGGTGTTACGGGCATTTGGGGAGTGAACTGACCGCTGGAAGGCTGATCTCTCACTTTCAAATACAGTGAAGTTTAATAGATGAATTGTAGTTCTGGGAAAGGTGGGTTTCACTCACACTTTGAGAAGTAATGACATGGCATCACAAACTGGTAAGAGATCAGTCTGTGTATTCGTCCATGCACTTTGACTTCTTTCAGACATGCAAACTACTTGTCCATGGTTAATTCAACACTATCGTATATCATCAATTTAAAGAAGATCGAAATTAATGAGTTTCCGGTTGGCCGTGTCCAGCTCGAGGGTCCAAACTGCCGTTGGCTGTGTGTGGGCAAGTTACTGAGCCTCGGTTAAGGCCCTTTGTAAAGTGTTGAGGTCGGTCTGAAAACCACAAAGGAACAGATCTCAGGCGTTACTCGGCGAGGGCTCTGAGAATGACCGCGAGGTCCCCCTGCAGGCAGCCCCCTCTGCCGCTGGCTGGGGAGGCAATTTCCACCGCACTACTAGGACCGTGCTAGCTTAAATCCCCTAGCCCCATTCACGATGTGTAAAGCTTCCAGGAAACCAGGAAAGACGCAGGGTTCAGGAGACAAAACTTCTCCCTCTTACTGCATCCGGGAGAGTGCTAACCAAAGGTTCCTTTCAGGCCCAGAGTAGGCGTGTAGCCTCCGGTGCTGGGCACATCGCAGCGCCACTTCTCAGCCTACCCGCCAACCCTCCGGCTTCCAATCCCTCTGAACCTAGGACCCAGGGGCTTCCGGGTACGCCCCGACCCCGCCTCTCCGCGCACCAGCACCCGCCATTGGCTGTGGGCGGCTCGACCCCGCCTCCACAATGGCCGCCGCCTGCCGCCGCGGCCCCTAAGAGGCTGCGGGGTTGCTGGTCTCCACGACCCATTCCCGGCTGCTGGGGCCGCCTGCTTGTGGCGCATGGGTCTTCTCCTAGGCGGGTCCCCATGCGCTCGGGCCATGGCGCGCTTGGGCGCTGTGCGCTCCCACTACTGCGCGCTGCTGCTGGCCGCGGCGCTCGCCGTCTGTGCCTTCTACTACCTGGGCTCGGGTCGGGAGACCTTCTCCAGCGCCACCAAGAGGCTGAAGGAAGCCCGCGCCGGGGCCCCCGCCGCGCCCTCGCCGCCTGCGCCGGAGCTGGCGCGCGGCTCTGTGGCGCCGGCAGCGGGCGCCAAGGCCAAGAGCCTGGAGGGCGGCGGGGCCGGGCCGGTGGACTACCACCTGCTGATGATGTTCACCAAGGCGGAGCACAATGCTGCGCTGCAGTCCAAGGCCCGCGTTGCGCTGCGCTCGCTGCTGCGCCTCGCCAAGTTCGAGGCACACGAGGTACTTAACCTGCACTTCGTGAGCGAGGAGGCCAGTCGCGAGGTGGCCAAGGGCCTGCTGCGGGAGCTACTGCCGCCCGCCGCCGGCTTCAAGTGCAAGGTGAGCGGGGCCACAGCTGGGGGCTCCTGGCGGGTGGCCCACGCCCGTCCTGGATACCATGCTGCGCGCTCCTGGAACAGCTGCGGGCAACAGCGGAAGGGGCTTCGTCGCCCTCCGCACTTCCAACGCCGGTAGCCCAATGCCCGCAGCCCAGCTCTAAATGTAGCCTGCTGGAGGCCTCGTCCGGGGGGCGTGTCCGGGGCCAGACGCGCTTGGCTGGTGCAGGAGGGGAGTGAGGGGTTCGTAGGCCGCCTTGCTTTCCTCTCCCACGTGAAGCGCTGCCCCGGGAGCGTGAACACGCCCCCACTGGGCGGCGTGGCAGGGTTCAGTGGCGCCTTCGGAGTCTGCTCCTCGTATTATGCCCTTCTGAGGACGGAACTGACCATTTGAGGGCACCAGCTGTTAGCCCGTCACGTTCAGCTCCGCATGGCCTTGGTGAGGCTCCTAAGGTATCTCAGTCGGGTCTGGCCACACCTCGTGCGAACTGTCTCATTTCCTCTCTGGTGCCCTCTCCTGCCCTTTAAGGGTCATGAATCCATTCAGAGAAAGCGCCGCTTCCTCCAGCTAAGCCAGAAGAAGCTCTGAGAGGTCGCAGTATGATGAGCTGGGAGAGCAGAGCTGGCCACCTTGTCCTGGGCTGGGCCGTCAGGTCAGCTCATGTGCCTGGCTCTGCTTGGCTGAGACTCGTGTGAATTGCCTCCATCAGATGGTTGCCTCCTTTTGACCTAAAAGTTACACAGAGGGGATCTAAGGTCGAATTTTTGGATAGGAGTGGAAGGTGGGCATAAAGAATGGAGGCTGATGTGAGTGGGGGAAGGTGGTGCCAGTGATTTGGCCAGGTGGGTAGCTCAAGGGAGCCACTGCTAGGATTCTGCAGCGTCCCACGGCCTGCCGTGGCTCCTTGTGGCCTGCGGAGTCAAACCTCAATTTCTTGGTAGGGCTGTCTGTGTTGTGAGCCTGACCCTCCATCTGGCTTTGTCTCTTCTCCTTCCTCTGCATGCACCTATCATCTTTTTTTTTTTTTAAGACTTATTTATTTTATTTGACAGTCACAGTTACACAGAGAAGGAGAGGCAGAGAGACAGAGAGAGAGGTCTTTCATCTGCTGGTTCACTCCCCAATTGGCCACAATGGCTGAAGCTGTGCTGATCTAAAGCCAGGAGCCAGGAGCTTCTTCCAGGTCTCCCACGTAGGTGCGGGGGTCCAAGGACTTAGGTCATCTTCTACTGCTTTCCCAGGCCATAGCAGAGAGCTGGATCAGAAGAGGAGCAGCTGGGATTAGAACTGGCGCCCATATGGGATGCTGGCGTTTCAGGCCAGGGCTTAACCCGCTGTGCCACAGCGCCGGCCCCTGCACCTTACATCTTAAATACACCTTTGCATGGGCTGTGCTCTGTCTGGGGTGTTCCTCCCTTCATCTTGGGCCCTTGCTACTCTTAGCTTTCACCTCCCCTGAGAATGCCTCTAGATTCTGGGGATGGTCCGTGTCCAGCCCTCCATAGCCCTCCATTCCTGCTCTCCCCCATAATATCCCATGTCAGTGTTTTTCCCTTTGTGTCACAGTTGCCCTTTTTAGGAGAGTATTTTTCTCTTTCCTGATAGGCCCAGAGGACAGTTTGCTCCCAGGGAGAACTGGCAGGGAGTTAAAACACCTCGGGAGGAGGAAGGCAGCCCCTTAGCTGCCTGTGGACAGATGAACCTGTTAGGAGCACTCCCCATGGTCAGGGAACGGTCTGAACTTTGTGCTGTAGAAGTCTGAGAATCCAGGTCCCGGAGCTCGTGGCTGGGGAGCCTGGTTCCAATGTCTGACCTGGGGTTTTTCAGCCTAGAGCCCATTCCCATTGAGCTAATTGGAATCTCAGGAGGTGGGGCCTGGCAGCCAGTCCAAGGTAAAGCTTAGGATCCTACCTAGTGTTTGAGAAATTCTTCGACAGTCTAGGGGAGACCAGTGGGTGCCCTTGGCCGTATCTGGGATTTGACCAGGTCGCCAGGCACCACCTGAACACCAGCATTGTCAGCTTATCACCTTCAGCCTGGGCCTGCTCCTGGCCATTGCCAGGACTCTCCCCTCCCCTTACCCTGAGCGGTAGGCACAGCTCTTGCAGCAGCCCCAGTGCTTTCTGGCTGTCATGCGTCTGCTTCTGTCCTCCCCACCCTCAGGGGTCTCTGTCTCTCTTCATTTCCAAGTCTTGCCCATCTTCCAGTACTCTCCCCTCCCGGGAGTGGCCCAAGGAGCCCACAGCTGAAAGCTATGCCGTCTTGTCTTTCCCTCTTGTACCTCCCTGGTGGTGACTCGATCCTGCCTGAACATCCATCCCCGTGGAAGATGCCTGCTACATAGTCGGCACCAGACTATGGTCCCGGGGGAGGGGAGGGTCTGGCCTTGGCCCAGGCTCCTGCCTTGACAGAGGACTTTCCTGTCCCTTGCTGGGCGGTCTGGCAGCTGCAGCCCTTACCGCAGGTGCGCACATGGCGCCGACAGCCTGTGGGAACCAGTCTGTCTCCTGCTGAGGCACAGGGTGCTTTTAGCCAGAGGCCATGGGCAGGTCAGAGTTTATCAGTCCTCCATCAAGTCACTCCTCCTCATTTTGAGTTCATATCTTGTGACTCTGTTTTTCCTTTGTGATAAAAGGTGTTCTTCCTTTAAGGGGTGATTCTCAAAGATTCCCTTGTGTTTGGGATTTAACTCTTTCTTTGGTTGGGAATATTCCTGAAAAGAGTGCTTCACACGTGCCCTTCCCCTGCCCACCATCGCTGGTGCCTGGCCTGCAGTTCTCCGCTCAAGTGTTAGTCCTTGGTAAACGTTCCCGGAGCCCCCTTCCTTCGTGCCATTTATTCCAGGGGTATTTATAGAATCACTGAATTAATTCGACTTCTCTTCAATGCTCCGTCCCTAGCATTTGATGTTACGCCTCACGTGTGTGTGAGTGAGTGAGTGAGAATTGCTTTCCAGTCCTGACGGGGAAGAAGGAAACTAGAGATTCCCACCCAGCTTGCATCAGAGCTGGAAGGGGCTTCAAGAGCCCGTAGCACAACAGGTGAGGTGAGAAGACGGTCCAAGCCACCCGGGAGCTCCTGGCTCTGTGGGGCTGGGCTGCTTCCTCGGCCAGCGTGTTCCCCGCCAGGAGCACGGCTTCCGGCTTCCTCTCTCCCAGGGCATACTGATTTCCCTGTGTCCTTGGGAAGAAGGCAGATCGAGCTGCCCACCCAGCCGTCTGGGACGCGGCACTGTGCCTGCTCCCAGAGCTTGCTTCTCGGGCTGCTGCTTCCTCTTCCTCCTCCTCCTCACCCCCTTCCCCCTCCTTTTTCCACATCCTCTCCCTTTCTTCCTCCTCCCCCTCCTTCTCCTCTTCTTGCCATTTTCTAGTGACAGAGAAACACCTTTTAGTAGCAATGGCTGCAAAATGAGATCCTAGAACACGGTTGGTGAGCTTAGATTGTATTTGGTTGTAGTCATCCTTCAGTGACCATAGGGGTTTGGTCCAGGATCCCCTCTCAGTTACCAAAACCCGTGGATGCCCAAGTCCCTTAGGTAAAGTGGCATGGGACTTGCGTATACTCTCTGTACAGTCTCTTGATTCTAAGACCTGATAGAACATACGCATAACAGTTATGTAACTGCGGTGTTGAGGGGACAATGACAGAAGAAACGGTCGGTGCGTGTACAGTACAGATGCGGTTTTTTTCTGAATATTTTTCATCTGAGGTGGATTGAATCCACGGATACAGAGGGCTGACTGGAATTCAAGATTAGCCAAAAACAATCCCCTGCACCACAACAGTCTTGTTTTGACTGTTCCTGAGAGCCTTCCAGAATCTCTGAGTTCTCTCAACAGTACAGAGGTGTTTATCACGCAGCAAACACCCGAACCTGCTGTGCTGCAGGCGCCAACCCAGCAGCTGCGCTAGTCTCTACAATAAGTTCATTTGCCAACTGGGCCAGAGTCACCTGGGCTCCCGGGGTGGCAGTAGCATGCAGAACCTGTGCCAGTGTGTGGTCAGCGTCTCGTGAGAGGGCCGGGGAGTGTATTTGGGTGAAGCTGGGCAGGCAGCGTGGGGGTTGCTGCCAGGGCTCTCCTGCTTCCCTCTCGGGCCCACTTGGGGCATCCTCCCCAGGGATGGCCTGGCACAGAGCAGGCATTCTGGAACCAGCTCTCTTTCTTCCAGGCTGTCGGGGCCTGCTGACCCGGGAAAGGCCGCTGTGTCCACCGGTTAAGGTGCTGCTTTACCACGTCATCCTGCCCTCCTGCGGCTCTCGGCTTCCCATCACCCCACTGCCATCCCCAGTTGTTCTAGCGTCCTGCACCCCTTGCCGTGGGCTGCAGCCTCCTCGGGCAGCCGCTTTCCTCCCTGGGCTCTCAGATAGCTGGTGCCTGCTCAGGGAGCTTCACGCTGGCCGGCTGCCCGAGGCATCCCGTCCTTGGAAAGCGTGGGTTGGGACCTGCCTCTTCTGTCAGGACAGACGGCGAAACCCAGGACTCAGTTTCTCATCTGAATGAGGCCCAGGGCTCAGCATTCCCTGGGGCCTCGGGGGCTTCTCTGTCCCTGTCCCTGGAGGTGACCCCTGCCTTGCTGGTCTGCAGTGGCTGCTTGAGCTGTAGCCCTCCGTCAGCTGGGTGCTTCCGCGTCTTGCTTTGTGTCCAGTCTCCTGACATGGTTCCATTCCGCTGACTTCTGGGAAGATCAGCACACTGAGCCGGCCTCAAAGCCCTTCCCGTGGCTCCGCACCGACAGGACCTGGTGACAGGTCATCCCACCTTCCCCATGGTGGCTGGCTCCCTGCACAGGTGCAGGAGTGTGCAGCAGCGTTGTGTCTTGGGGGTGCCAGCCCTGTGCTGTCCCCAGTTCCCAGCCCACATGTTCGCTTTCTGGAAAGGTCCCTGTGTGCTTCCTTTGCAGCTCACGTTCATGTGCTCATTTCAGCAGGTGCTGTGGTTGCTCAGCCCGTGCCCAGCACTATTCTGGGTGCGGGTGAGCAGAGTGGGCCCCGCCCTCGTGGA